GACTGGATTCTGAGTTTGGGACCAGTCTGCTTCTGCTGCACAGATTGTCACATTTTCAGCTTTAGGTTCCAAAAGATCTAGAGTTCCTGAAGGAGATTGGCTACAGAACATAAAAACACACTCAGCTGACCTCCATCCAGCTGGGGGTCTTTCTGGTAGTGTGCTTTTACTGAACTGTGCTATGCATTATGGGTAAACCTGCCTGTCTTGGCCTAGCTGCAAAAGAAAGATCCAAGTGTCTCCAGATCATTTAGGCCTCCAACCTACTTTATGACTTTAGAGCCTAAGATGATGACCTCTAACCTGAGATGGAGCTCCAGGTGTTTTTGCGGTTCACACCTGAGAAGATCAGCAGCTATCAAGTTCTAAAACCTCTCTGTACAGGGACGGACTCCAGATTCTTTAGGAGTGACCTTTAACCATTCCTCACTAAGGAGGTCAGAGCTGATGTTTTTCCTCCGTGTGTTAACACACACCTGTATGCTCCGGAGCAGTGGGAGGAGCTGAGGTGATGATGATTAATTAATGCTCGTGTCTGATTGGCTGCTTGTAGCAGAACATTTCTCTCTTAATGAAGCACGTTTCATGAATTTTTGTGCATTTTTTACTAATTTTGCTAAATAAATATTAGGCTTACATAATATGTGTGTTTTAGACCTCTTAAAGTTCCCAGCAGAGTTGTGGACTTGAGTCACATGACTTGGACTCGAGTCATTATTTTAATGACTTCTGGCTTGACTTGATAAAATCTATAAAGACTTGCAACTTGACTTGGACTTGAACGCCAATGACTTGCAACTTGAATCGACTTGCATCTTGTGACTTGATGATGACTTAAGCCTATTTGATATTTTAGCACAAAAGTGGCACGACATGGACAAAAATCATGAATCATTCTTGGTTCTGGGTGTGATCTTGTTCTGCTAAATGCAGCAGCTCTTTGTTTATAATCAGTTTCAGTTGCACTTTCTGCTTGTTTGGTGAATAAATGAAGCTTTAAGAAGCTTTATTTCTGGAATTTATTTATTATCATCGACATTAAATAGAAGTTGGACAGATGACTTGATTATGACTTGAAAATTCAAAGTTAAAGACTTGGACTTGACTTGGACTTCCAAATCATTGACCTTGGACTCGACTTGGACTTAGTTGTCTTTGACTTGGACTTGACTTGAGACTTGACTGTAAAGACTTGTGACTTATCTGTGACTTGCAAAGCAGTGACTTGGTCACCCTTCTGGTTCCCAGCAATCAGTTTTAAACATTGGTAAGAGCCGGATGTTTTTTATAAATATTATTTTAATTAATACAACTGTAGATAAAAGGATGAACTTCCATTATGTTCAATAATGAATTTAGAAAATAACGATTTAATCAAACATTAAAACTGCAAAATTTCTGAAATAAATAAAAAAATAATTTATTTTAGTTCCAATGTAAAATTCCTAATCAGGGAAATCTGTACAAACAGGATTTGGGGACCTTGTTAGAAAAAACACATTTGGACTATAAGAATGATGCTGATAGAGAGCTAAATACATTAAAACTCACCCGCTGTCGTGTTATTAAAGCGTTGAGGGAGTTTCTTCTTTAATCAATCATTTTTAAGAATTAATTCCAAGTTGAAAAATAAACTAAAACACAAAATAAACACGTTTAGAGGATACGTGGGCGGACAGATGAGTAAACCTGATGGACCGACTTCCCTAACCACGAAGGATTTGTGATTAAAGATGCTTACGATGAAACCCCCTGGCAGAAGAAAACCCTAAAATAAAAAGATTTGTAGATTTTCCGCTAAACCTCCTCTTCCTCCTAGCTGACATGGAGGATGAAGATGGGACTTGTCTACTTGACGTGTTGTGGTGAGTTTTTCATTCAGCTGCATGTAAAACCTTCATGTGGAGTTTCCTCTCCTTTTGGAACAAAACGCCACGTTTCAGCATCAGAAGAATTTATTTGACCATTCTGTTTTTTCAGTGACCCCCAAGCCCTGAACGACTTCCTTCATGGGACCAGTGAGGTAACAAGTGTGTTAGGAGTCAGCACAGCCCATAATAAGTCAGATGCAGATATTTCTTGGCACCCAGTCATGAGAAATGTGTGTAGGAGGGCTGCCGGTGGGAAAGAGACGCATAATGTGATACCGTCTGTATTTATCACCATGAATCAAGCGTCCTGACCTAAAATGGACTGATTTGTCTCCCACCAGCTGCACGCTGAAGAGCTGCTCATTAACTCCTCCTCTGGGGAGCCCTCCCTCTTCACAGATGCCCCGGTGAGTGTCTGGATACACAGCATGCAGCGTCACAGCAACCAGCACCTTCCCCCAGGAGGACCGTGCTTTTCTTTCCTCTTTCAGCTTCCTGTTAACTCTGAATAATCACACAACACTCCCTCGCCTGCTGTCTCTTTCCGTTTCTTCCTGCAGAGTCCCGTCTCTCTGCTGGGAGACGATGGGGATTCCCCTGATACGCCTCCACCCGAGTGTGTGGATCTGTCCTTCCTGGAGGAGGCTCTCCTGTCATCTCCCGAGGGTGGAGAGGACCCACACACTGTGCAGGAGGGGCCACCTGTGGGGACTGGATGTGAGGGGAAGAAGGGGGAGGCGGGGGAGGCTGAGATGGCGTGTGATATCCTCCAGCAGAGCCTGCAGGAGGCTGAGATCACTGAGCAGACCATGGCTCTTGAAGCAGGCCTGGCACAGACGGGGGACAGTTTGTCCCTGTACTCACCCACCCCTCTTCTCTCGCCCCCCTCTGTCCCATTCATACCCAAGTCTGTGACCCTGCCCGTCACCTCAGTGATGACCAGAGACACCCAAGCAGCAGTGGAGCCCCCCCAGCCCTCCCTCCTGGCTGTCGGACCAGGCTGTCCCTCTCTAAAACCTGCGGCCCCCCCTCAGCTGATGGGACTACTGCCTGGAAACGTCTTTCCTGCTCCATCTTCAGACACGTCCTTCTCCTTAAATCCCGCTCAAGGTTCCAGTATGATTATACACAAGACGGTGTCTGGAGTCGGAGGCCATCCCCTCATCGCCCCAACGCTCAGAGCTGCAGCAGCACCAGCACCAGGCATCCTCCTGCAGCACGCCCCTCTGCCCATACAACCCAAACTTCCTGTCAGCATTCAGCCCAGATTGGTTCAGATCAGCCCCAAGCCTTTAGGGCAGAAACCGGCTCCTGGTCTCACATTCGTCCCTGGAACCGCCTCGTCAAATATTTTACTGTCCCAAGCTCCGGGCCAAAAGGCTGTGGCTTCACAGCAGCAGCCGGCGCAGCAGCTCTCAAAGCCAGTCAGCCTGCAGCTCGTCAGCCAGGGGGGCTCCTTTGTGCTCCAGCCTCAGGGACTCTTCCAAGGTCAGAACCAGTTCCTGCTTCCAGGCCAGTCTCCTGTTACCATCTCCCAGCCTGCCAGAGCAGCCCAACCTTTGCTCACCCCCAGTCCCCACGGCCCAGCAATTCACAGCGTGACTCCCGCCACCAGGCAGCTTGTAGACGGCTCTCAGATCCTAACCATACCCCACAGACAGCTGAACTTCAGCCCGGTCTTCACCACCCCCACAGGGCAGCTGGCTCTCCGCCAGGCCACTGTGCTTTCAGGACCTTTACAGCTGCAGTCAGCTCCTGCTACTGTCTTCCAGATGCCAGCACAGCTGGCTGGAGCTTACACTCCAGGAGGTCAGGGACCACAAACCACACTGGTGCACAGTCCTGCTCTTGGGAACCACATTACCTTGATCAACAGTTCAGGAGTCCTTTCCCCAGACCTGACTTCCATCTCTATAGTCAACGGCCCGTCAGTGGTCAGGGGACTGCCGTTCGTTGCTCAGGCGCCTGCTTCTCAAGCAGGAGGGCCTGAAGGTCAGCTGAGCCTCCAGCGGGCCTCTGTGGTTCTGTTACCTGAGAGGACTGTTCCGGAAGACCGGAGCAACTCAGAAGAAACCTTCCAGCAACTACAGCAGGTGAGCTCTCACAGCTCTGTAGGGATGTGCACTGGCAACGGGCTCAGAAGTAGAGAAATGAGAGTTTAGTGTGTTATCGCTTCTGTGGCGTTTTTATTTAAGCTACATGTTTCAAGTGTTCAGGAAATGTGTTACAGTCACGCTTTTAAAAAGAAAAAAAGCTGTATTATTGTTTCTAAACTCCCCAAGTCTGAGTTCAGACCAGCGGGTCAAAGGTTAGAGTTCCTGGCACCGTTTAGGTTTGACCTCTGGACACATGAGACCAGAGTGCAGATGTTTACCCGTGATGCACAGCAGTATGTCTGATGAAAGCTAAACAACACATCAGCACAAACAGCTGCTGTCAGCACGGCAGTGGAGGAATTGTGATTTGGGCTGTGTCTGCAGCTACACGACTCAATGAGTCCACCAGCAGAGCAGCTGAAAGGGAAAAGGTCCACACCGGGACATGGACAACAAACAGTTGGGGGACATTTAGGGACACAAACATAGACCCAGTCTGTTACCTGAAGACCTACGCAGGCTAGAGTAAACTTGAGGATTCTCATCTGTCCCTCTGCAGCCCTTTGGACACGTTGTCCAACACGTCTCCATCCAGCCCACCTCAGCAGGACCCCGCTCCTCTCCTCCTCCTGTAGTTACAGTTTTGCAGCCCCCCCCTGGGCCGGATCCAGCTGTGGAGGTGACCAAACTTTTGATGCCCCCAGCAGACATGAGCCAAGTGATGGAGGAGGTCACCAAGTCAGTGGGTCAGAACCAGACCTTCATGCCACATTTACAACAGGTCAGAGTTTCTGTCCATCTGTCCCTCAGAGCAGGTTGTTGTGTTAGTAACAATAAATCTTAATATCATGAATTAAAAACAACCGTTTAGTGGACACGTCCTAATCCGTCTCAGAAGTTGGTTCTGATCCTACAGAACTGTTTGATCTTCTTTTTCTTCACAGCTTAGTTCCCCCGTCTCGTCTGAACTCCTGGACGGAGCTCTACCGGCGGTGCCGATGGAGCCGCTCACCCCCCTGGCCACAGACGACGGAGAGACTCGACCTTCAACTGGTCTGGTCTATGAACAAGAGGTCCATGTGATGTCAGGACAGTGTGGTGAGGTGTCTCCACATCACCCAGAGCCTGAAAACCCTCCCCTGATCTGTTCCCCCACTCAGACAGCAGCGTCCTCCCCCCCTCCTGGATCTGAGAGCTTAATCACCCAACACTCAGCTCCCCAGGAGCACAGCGAACCCCAAGTCCAGCACCAAGACCCCCACCAGCTTCAGGTCTCAGAAGCAACACTAGCAGAGACCCAGGTAGACATTCAGTCATCAGTTTCCCAGCCTCAGGCCCAAGTTCAGGTCTCAGATTCCCAGATCCAGTCTCAGAGCTGCACCTCAGTCCAGTGCAGCCCGTCATCTGTGAGTGTCAGCGTCACAGAGCCTCGGCAGCAGACTGCATCTATGCCACTGTCTGCAGGAGGAGATGATGCTGCCGTCCAGCAGTTCACACAAACCAGTGAGTTCACCTGCTGTTCATCAGAAACAATAATTGTATCTGAGAATGCATCGTGACCTTCATGTCAGAAAACCAGTTCAAGGGAGTTTTCCTCTCCACTGTTGCTGCATGCTTGCATAGTATGAGGATTGCATCAAGTCACTGACACTAGTCAGTGACTTGATGCAATTTGCTGGGTTCCTTATATAGGAAACATTATTTCTGATTGGTTTAATGAGCTGTCCTGAATTAGAATGTTTATTATGTGAAATGCCTTGAGACGACTCTTGTCGTGATTTGGCGCTATATAAATAAACTTGAATTGAATTGAAGCTGGAGGTGCCCCACTTTATGTTGTTTAGCGTGGACGTAATTTTTTTTTTGGGGGGGGGGGGGGGGGACAGGGGGGACATGTCCCCCCACTTTTTCCAAAATCAAGTTTTGACCCCTGCACTTTTTACCATCCAAAAACAACATTACGCTATATTAAATTGACACTGGTTGAGCTCTAAGACCAAGCGGAAAACAGCCGTTTGCGTTGAAACCTGTTTCCCATTAGAGCATACTGTAAAGATCCCCCACCCCCCCACCCCTGTGTCCCCCCCACTTCTCAAGTGAAAATTACGTCCTTGTCGTTTAGCACCACCTGAGCTGCAGATGGTGGGAAATTCAGACCACTGGTGGGCTTCTGTCAGAATCTGGATGATCGGTCACAGAAGCAGGAGCGAATCCTGACTCAGAGAAAACAACCCAATAAGAAGATGAACACTGACCTCAGGCCCGGAAAGCGTGTTTTACACCGAATGCGTTACGGGGGCGCCCCGGTTTCTAGACAGACCAACATTCACACCGAGTGCTGCTCATGTGCTGAATGTTTCCAGATATCTGCTCCCACAAGAGCACCAAATTATCAGGAATCTGAATTGATATCGTTGTCCACAATAACAAAACAAAAGCCGGGGAAAAAAAGCAACATGGGTTTTATTTTGAAATAACCCAGATGCGCCTCACTGTTCAATGTCTCACTTCCTGTCTGGCTCATTTAATTCCTTTAGTTTATCATGGCATCTGGAATAAATAGGAACTTTCCACAGCTCCAGATCCGGATCTGCACCACACCACAGCCAGCGTGAATGCATCTGTTTTGCATTCAGTGTGAAAGAGGCATCCGGTTTGTTTAAACATAAAACCTATGTAGCATCACTCTTTTGGCGTCTTTTGTTGTTACTAATGATGGGATATCGGTTTCACAGTGTGTGAAAGTTGGAGAAGACGAGTGTGAATTTTGCGTACCAGCTCCTACACGTAGTTGTTATCATGTGAACTCGGGAGCACACGATGTTAGGTCACTTTACTAGTTTTAAGAATTCTAGCCACACCGCCCAAAAGATTGGCTTGTTTACTCAAGTTTTTGGTCATAATTAATTGAAATAATAAAGTGAAACCAAATGAAATCTGCTGTACCTTTTTGGTTACCGGTCGTCGTCTCTCATGTTTCTTCTCGTTTGTTCCGACGGCTGCCCTGGCCGTGGTGAGTAAAGCGTTTAACCTGCATCCACATTCTCCTGCAGAACGTACGCCTCCTGCTCCTGAGAGGTGTTCCTCTGTCCAGATGAGCAGACAGATGGGCGAAAAGGTGAAACCAGTTATAGATGTAGTTCTTTAGCTGACACCATAAGATTCATCAGAGAAACGCAGACTTAGGCGGACCATTTGGACTCATCCAAACTGTTGTGTCTCTGTTAGCTTGTTCCTGTGGAGCTGCGGCGAGAGGAGAGGCTGACTCCAGCAGCGCGCAGACACAGGTAGGACCCAATCTGCATGAAACATCCCAAAGTCTGATAAAAAAAGAACTGCCGAAGTAAAGATGCTTGATTCCTTTTGGAGTCATATTCTAAATGTAAAGGTCCCTTTGTCTTTGGTTATCCGTTTGATCAGATTGAGACGCACGCATCATTTCCATGGCTACATCTGGATGTTCGTGTTAACACTGGGTTGTCCATGTCCTTTAGATTCCAGCAGCAGCTGTGTTCAGATCACAGCTCAGTGCAGAACCCGCTCACGAGGCCAGTGTTTGGCTCTCTGAAGGATGTTGTCAGGCGCCTGCTGCCGTACCACACCTGTGCCGGTCACCTGCCCACTCCAGAGGACTTTCACCTAGGTTAATGAATGGCTCCATGAAAGTCCCCCTCTGGAGTTTTACTGAGTGTTAGTTAATCTGCTGTCTGTTCCCACAGTGGACCAGGAGTTTGACTCCGTGTCTGGTTTCCTCCTTAAACGCACCAAGGACATGGTCAACAAATACAGGCAACTATTGGTGAAAGAGGCCCAGGTAACACATGATACACCTGCAAACTCACCTACAGAAACAACGCCTGGATGGTAGCATGTTGTTCCTTCGTATTAGATCTGAGTAGACCATAGAGATAAAATGGTTTTGATGGTTCTGATTGTAAGTCAAACAGACGTCCCAGATCCTACCTTCACAATAAGAGCGGTTGTGGTCAAAATACACGTTTAACCTAGAAAACATGATTCATTACTATGAAGATCATTACTGTGACACAAAGTCTCTAGCCTGGCCTGCCAGACTCGTCTCTGTTTAATTCTGCACAGAGAAGGAGTCTGGCAGGCCAGGCTACAAAGTCTCCTTCCTGTTTATAAACAGAACAGAGAGATTAAAGAGCAAGTTCACTGAAAAACGGTTCTTCACTTGCTCTTTCTGAAATAGGGTCGGTCAGGCTAAATGTGAAAATAGTCCTCTACCCCTATTTCCTGCATTAGCCACCCACAGAAAATACCATACCATACCATAGTTTGTTTATATAGCACATTTAAAAGGCAGCATGGGAGCGGCCCAAAGTGCTGCACAGGCTGGACCAAATCACGACCAATCAAAGCAACAAAAACAGAAGATAAAAACACCGATCAATAAAAGCTAACGAAACATGAGGAATACTAGAACACATCAAAAACAATAATACAATAAAACAATAAAACGAGTCATGGTCTAAAAGCCACATCATAGAAGTGGGTCTTTAAACGAGATTTAAAAACCGCCAATGATGGAGCCTGTCGAACTACAATAGTTAGAGAGTTCCACAGCTTTGGGGCAGCATGTACAAATACTTGTTCACCCCGTAATTTGTAACGCATCCGGGGCGTGCACAGCAGCAGGAGGTCAACCGACCTCAACGTGCGCGTGGGAACCTGGTGGGAACATAGGGAGTGAGCAGGTCAGAGAGATAGGGAGGTGCCAGGTTGTTGAATGCTTTAAAGACAAAAGTCAATAGCTTAAACTGTACTCGGAAAATGACAGGGAGCCAGTGAAGATGTCCCAGGACAGGGGTGATATGGCTACGTCGGTACGTATTTGTCAAGAACCTGGCAGCAGCATTCTGGACGAAGTGCAGCCGATTCAGGATAGAGACCGGAGCACCAAGTAGGAGGGCGTTTGCATAGTCCAGGCGAGAGGTAATGAAAGCATGGATAACTGACTCCAAATGCCTCTGCTTCAAGATTGGTCTAAGGCGAGTAAGGCGGCGAACCTGGCAAAAGCAAGTCCTCACGACTGAGTTAATCTGTGGGGTCATTGAGAGTTCAGCATCTAGCTTTGCCCCGAGACTTATCACGCACTGTTTGGGCTTGAAGGTTAAAAGGTCACAAACAGAGTGAGAGCCATGGTGATTGTGGGGGGCAAAAACTATAGACTCAGTCCTCCTTTCATTTAATTTTAAGAAATTGGACGCCAGCCAGCCCGATAGACGATGAAAAGCTCGGATTAGAAAAACCAGTGCATGTCACACTGAATATTAGCATTCATGGAGTCATCCATCTTGGCTCCTGACGGGGAAGGCTGTTGTTGGTTCAGCGACCAGGAAACAGCAGAGCTTGTCTCAGCTTGTAGAAGCTAACCGTTAGCATCTCACAACATAGCAGAACTTCTCCAGGCTTATTTGTGCAGATAAAGACGGGCGGACACCGTATTACTTTTTTTTTTACTTTTTTGAGCCAATTTTCCCCTCGTGCGAGAATCTACTAGCCTAGTGAACTAGACCAAATTCTTGCTTTGCAAAGTTTGGTCTAGGAGAGCTCCACTGGAACCTCTGCAGCCCCAACAGCATTCTGGCTGGCCAATCACAGCTCTCTAGAGGGGTTTCAAATACATATAGAGCTGTGATTGGTCCATAATGGTGGGCCAGTCATAGTGCTCTATCTGCTTAGTGAACAAATCACAGAGCTTAATCCGCTTTGTGGGCCAATCAGGGAACTCTATATGCCTGGTGGGTGGGATGATGTAACAGAGTGAAACAAGAGTAAGTCACATTCATTGTCCAGTGGAATGCGAAGATCATTTGAAAGACAACGGTAGAACCCGCCCCACAACCGAGAGCCGTCAATGGAGCATGGCCAGACTAAATAATACATTTATTTAGTCTGGCTTGCCAGGCTAAGAATCTACAAGATCTGGTCGAGTTTTGAGCTGAGTGTCGTGTATTATACACGGGATAGCGAAAGGTGACTAACACTACGTGACCAGCGTGACCAATCAGCAGTTGTAAGCGTGCAAAAATTTCTGGCGTGTTTGATATTTTGCTCGTCCCTCGTGAGGGACTAAAGCTCTAAAGCTGGGTGGACACTGTGCGACTTTTTCACTCGTAGCACTCAGCTTCAGCTCAAACTGTATGACTTGAAGTGACTCTGCGACCCGTCTGTGCACTTGTTTGTAAACTGTGAGAGAATAATGAACTCTGACAACTTTTAGCTCAGAGTATTAATAATAATAGATTTTGTCTTCTTGTGTGCTCAGGTGACCCGAAACATCCAAGTGTTTGAGTTTCCACGTGTTTAATGCCATCTGACCCTGTTTCCACAGCAAGAGAGCCCATCAGCGGAGATGGTGATGTTGGAACGTCTCTTCCTTCAAGCGGAGAGGTTCTCATTAGCAGAAGACAGAAGGCGAGCTTGTAGAGATCCAGGTCAGTGTGCTAAAGCATCTCTACAGCTTCTACATGTGAACTGGCTGAGCAACATCAGGGTGAGAGAGTTGAGAACGATAGAGAAACGAGTTAGTGACATATTTGAAAAATTTATTGGTTCCTTGGAAGACTTAACCCTATAAAATTGGCTTCAGAGCAGCTCACAGGTGTCACTGTGTAATGAAACAGTGTAAAAGTGGAGTGGGACGCTCCCAGGCAGACTGGGATGATGGGACATTACAGGCGAGAGGTTAGGAGATAATTAAAGTAATGATGTTTCAGGAGACATGGCCAACATGCAAATTCAGACTTCGTAAAGAGAAAGCAGCTCGCCGAAATAAAAGCAGGGGTAAGAGATCTAACATCTGAGGTGAGATTATATGAGTTTGTTCTACTGTGGATCATTTGTGCAGAGAGGACCCAGATTCACGGTGGACTCACACAGCCTGACTATCAGAGACTGAGGTATTAGATAGGGGGTCACTTCACTCTGCTTTACTGTGAACCATGAGGTAAAAATGGCCTCTAAAGCTGGGCGGACACTGTGCGACTTTTTCACTCGTAGCACTCAGCTTCAGCTCAAACTGTACGACTTCCTCGCCGAGCAGATCTCACGAGTCATGTGCTCGCACTGTACGACCCAGTTCTCGGATGCGACCTGACTGCTCACACTGTACGTCTGGTAGCAACACGTCGGACCTAAAAAAATATGCTAAAAATAGCAGTTTTTACACAACACGTCGGACTTTTTTTGTGTTGTTTTGCCTGTTGTCCTTCAGGAGTGCTGCAGGAGGACACACAGGGATTTATGGGGGTTGGGTGAGGAAAACGAAATAAAGAAAGTAAATCGGTGTTTTGTGATCAGTTTACTTTGACATGAACACGACGAACACGCTTTCTTGAGAATCCTTGTCATTGTGTGTAAAAGACATGTAGAAATAAAAACGAACAACATGTGTTATTAGGGAAATAGCGGGTGAGCGGTGTTGACGCATGATTGCGCATGCGCAGTTCTGATACTTTTTGCGTCGCAGCCGCTCGCTGCGCCTCTTCAACCCTCACGAGGAACGAGCAAAATATCAAACACTCCAGAAGTCCATGTGAGCTCACGATTGCTGATCGGTAGCTGGTCAGGTGGTGTTGATCGCCTCCCGTAACCCCCTGTATACTACACGACGCTCAGCGCAAAACCGCCCGATCTTGTGGATTCTCGCGCGAGTGGAAAATCGGCTCAAAAAAGTGAAAAAGTCGCAGAGTGTATGCCCGGCTTAATGGGGTGAAAGCTGATGTCTCCGGTAAGTTTCCTTGTGGTTCTGGACTGAGATGCTTGTCGTTAGTCTTAAAGGTGTCCCCGGTAGGCTTTTCTTTAGTTTTGTTGACGTTTGCAAACAGGCCGATGTCCAAAATGTTCCAAATGGAAACAAAAGTAAACGGGATAAATATTCAGCTAGCTCAAACTTTTTTTCTTTCAGAAACTTTTATGACAGCCCTGACCACGTCAACGTCTTCCCCCCATGGAGCCCATTCCTCTGGCCCCTCCCATTCACCTGACTCCTCCCAGTTCTCAGTCCCCGCCCACATGTACCCCTCTGACAGCCCCTCTCCTCCTTCAGCCTGGACTCGTCTGTCTGAACGCCCCCCAGGACTAAAGACGTACTGCTCCAGCTCGCGTGGGGCCCTCAGACTTACCATCAAGCAGGAGTCCGGTTCTCGTAAAGTGATCCACAACTCGGCCTGTGACCCAGGACTGAAGCGAGACCACACAGGGCAGCTGACCAATGGTGGTGGTGGAGGAGTGAACAAACGGCCCTCTCAGGCAACCAACGGAGCGGCCCATTGTCCTCAGCATGATGAGATGTCCAATGGAGCTTTTACTGCTTCCACTACTAACCAGATCCAACAGACAGCTTCCAATTCCAAAATAAAAGCCCCAAATCCCTTTTCTATAGCAGACCCAGGGGAGGTTTGCTTTGAGTTGCCTCGCAGAGACGTCAGTGCCCCCAAACGCAAATGCTACAGGCTGGACATGTCTCCTCGGCCGGAGCAGCAGTTCGACACTTCAACTCTGCCTCTCCAGGAAGACAACATGCTCAGCGAACATCTACAGAGTGCCATCGACAGCATACTTGAACTCCAGCGCCTGCAAGGCCCTTCTGCAGCCCCAAGCAGGGCCTCAGCAGGCCCTTCTCTGGACCAGGCTGTCACCAGCATCCTGGAGGGACACCTGTGAGGTAATGTAACCCGACAGACTAAAGGCTCGTGGACGCGTTCCCAGAGGGTGTCAGATGTTGCTTTAACTGATGATTAAGAAGAAAAATCTCTAAAGCACTTAGAGACGCAGCGCAGACATCAGCACTAAGGCTAGTCCCGTAGGTGTTAGAAACTTCAGTTTGATGTTTGTTTGTGGGGGGAAATCTATTTGAATAGGAGCTCTATTGTTTCAGTGATAGTTGAGCCATTCAGAGGTTTACGCGCTGTTGTGACCTTCTTCAACATATAGAATATAAGTAATAGTGGAGACAAAAAACATGGAGTAGACTGAGATTATTTAATAGTATTTTATAAACCTTCTTTTAAAGTTGGGAAGCTTTTCTTTTGCATTGTGCCAATCTTCCAGGGTACTTATTTTGATAACTTGTGCCAATTGTGTTCTGGATTAGGAGGTGTTTGTGTCTGTTTTCTTTTAGGTTTGAGAGAGAGAGAGAGAGTGTGTGTGTGTGTGTGTGTGTGTGAGAGAGAGCTTTAGATCCTGTTATGGGGCAGTACACACACAAAAAAGTTCACACACTCCGTCATTAATGAAACTCCAAAGACTTTATGATTTTTTACATCTTGAATACACCAGCAGACATCTGTGTTGTCTCATCACAAATATATTAAAAAAAACCCGAGGGGCACAACGTTCATTAGGCAGTTGTAGTTCTTTTATTTTGAAAGTCCAGACCCTTACTGTGAAGTCTAACTGTGAACCGTTGTTGGTTTTGTCTGTTTTCAGACGAGTAGTGTACCATCCTGTCCATATTAACATGTAAGCAATAATAAGTTAGGATGATTGTTGGAGCAGTGAGGAAGAGGAGGAGTCTGCTCCGTCACTGATGAAGGATGGAGACAAAGATTGTGAGGCGCTTTTTGTCATCAAAGCCGTTGTAGTTTAGAAAATGTTTCAAGGGCTTCATGGTGGCTTTTTAGCATCTATGACCATAAAAATATCCAGTTTCAGAAGAAAACCCAAGCAGCTGGAGCCTCATCATCAAACAGCCTTTTACCAAAAACACAAGGAACCATCTGCTTCACAGTGAGCGCCAGTTTGTTTTAATCACTGGTTTCTAGCTGAGCTAAATCTTTATTTAATGCGACCATCGTTGAGCAATATGATTTCTGCAGCCTCTTATGTTTATTGTGACAATCTTCTGTGTTTTTATAAAAATGTGAGTTCTGTTTGTTGAGAATTTTTCATTTTTTAATATTTAAATTTGTGCAAAACATTTTACCTTAAAAGTCAAACTGAACTTGGAAAATGTCTGATGTTTGTAGAACAAACAAATATTGCTTCTGAGCAGGACTTTAGGTGGAAGGTTGGAGTCACTTTTGTGTCTATGAAGGATTATCTGAAAGGTTAACGTGTGAATTCAGTCAGACTAAAATCTGCACTGACTATCAACTCCACATTAAACCAGTGAGAAGCTCCGTCTCCAGATTTCTCCAAGCACAATTTGTTTTACTTAAAGTAAAGGAGTTTACACAGACCTCCACTGTCTGACTGCAGCATAAAGACACAAAACTAACTCCATACCTGGGCCAAGGATTGGATGTTTCATTAAAAGCCTTCAGCAACAAGACTCAGAAGAAAAGAAAGTTATTTTTCTAGTTTCTTTTAACATCTGAGGGCTGTTTCACCAAACCTAAAGATGAGATTTAAGCTTAGTGAAATAGTTTGGATTTCTGTGTTTGTAGAGGGAATTCACTGGAGTTTTCTTCAAAATAAAAAAGATAATTCGAGGATAAAAAGCTGCCTCCCAAATAGATCTAAGTGGATTTAACCTGCTCCAGACGGGGCTAACAGCCGTTGAACTTCTGACGGTTGCTCCATATTTCTATCATAAGTATGTCATTTATCATTTAGAAGAGTTATTACAGCTAACAAGGCTAAATAAATGAAACAAACATGAGGAATTCAGCTCATAAACAACTTGAAAAAACCTGCTGTGCTTTGGATCTTTGGGGTAAATTATGACTTATTTAAAATTTGGGTATTAATAGAGAAGTTATTTTTCTAGTATTATTTCATTTGTAAAAATGTTACGTCCTAAGAGCCATTTAGTTCTCTCCTGGTGGACGGGTAGTTAAGCGGGTTAAATCCAACTGGTTTAATGACTGGGTTTGTAGACTAAAACCAGTTAATCCCAGAAGCTCCAACCAGTTCAGCCTGGTTTCCTTTTTACTTTTATGAAACAGCCCCCAGGTGTTAGAAACCATTAAAATTAAAAAAAAAGGTGCTTTATTGAACATTCATTCCTTCATCTGTATCAGTGTTATTTTTATTTGTATTATTAGTCTTTTGTTGAACTGAACTAAGTTTTAATATGCAGTAATTTAGTGTTGAGACGTGGTGTACAAGTGCTGGTGGACACACAGAAGACCCATCAAAACCAGTTTGATCTTTTGGGGAACAAAAACATGGCGTCTGTATGCTAACAGCTAATGGCTAAAACTAACAACAACCTAGAAAGTGGAGGGAAAGTCGTAGCTTGACCTTTGTTTATTCTGGTATAAAATACCTGATAGCTACTTATGGGGCACACATAATAGTGATACATTAAAAATAAACACATTAAAAATAAACAGCTTTATTTTATTTAACTACATTTGACCCCATTAAATCTGAAAATTTAAAGTGACAGTGTGTATTTTTCCTGGCAATAGGAGCAGTAGACACCTAAATTGTTGCAAGCAAGCAGTATTTTTGTGTTGGAGTAAGACCTTACCAGCGGGTGCCCATTAGGGTCAAAAAGCCCCAGCGAGTGAAGACTAGTAAAATACCGAGCACATCAGACACCCGTTTCATCACTGGCAACAAGTGAAGAGGTAAATGAGTAAAACAACATTTAAGATTGACGAAAGTTTTGTAACCTTTTGTAATCAGTAATGCATTTTGTCCTCATGGGCTCCTGTAGAAGGAAACATGGCCTCTAATAGGGAGCCGTCATTTCCGCATCACATGGGTCCTCGGAAGAGCAAAAAAAAAAAGAATGCAAGTCAACGGGGCTAAAAACGCCATTTTCTAATTCTGCTTGTTTTGTGCCAAGGATTTCACATTATGATGCCCGTGAATTTTAAAGATACATTTTGATACCAAGAATGCGCTTGTTTAGAACGGGGGGTGGGGGTTGGGGGTATTTTAGGTTTTGTGTGAAAATAAGTCCAGGACTACGTCATTGAACCAGACAGGGAGAAAACTGAGGGGAAATGGCTGTAAGTTCAGCGATCTTTCCTCAGGAGGAAAGAACCACCATAAATCTGGTCATTTGGTAAGTAGCAGCTACGTTATGGGGGAGGAGATTATGTTTATGTATTTAGCAGACGCTTTTGTCCAAAGCGACTTACAAGTGATAATCGACATGTTGCCCTTGAGGCTAACAACAACAATTAGAACAACAACCAATTTCCAGTCAGTCGTAGGTGGCAGTGAGGCAGCATGATGAATCATGGAGTGGTGGGAACAAGGAGTGGACAGTAGAGAGGGGACGGGCGCAGGTAGGGTGCTAATCATATCATACACCATTATGTGGTGTGATATGTGACGTGCCAATTTCTAGTTTGTAGTCTTGCCAATTCTGAACTTTTACAAGCTAATAAATCTCAAAGTACATAACTGGCATGGTTGAAACACTCATTACTTTTCATTTAAATTGCAGTACAACATATGTGTGATCCAGGGCGTATGGCAAAGCGGATTAGAAAATAGCGTTTTTAGCCCCGTCGACTTGCATTCATGTTTTCGTTCTGATGCGTAAGTGACTTAGGTTCCCTGTATGGCGTTGTCCAGAGACTTAGACCTGCTCCCATGTATTTTAGATCTCATTTTTTATGGCTATACGTTACAAAGCTGCCAATATTTTTCAACAACTGGGCATCATTTCACTCTTTTTAAACAACATTTTTATGGATGTTTCCAGAAAATGATAAAAACTACACATTGTCTCTTTAAGCAGCCTAGCAAAATAAAAGCAGGCTGAATAGATCTAACATCTCAGAGACGATGGTCAGATTGTGTCGGTTTAAACATGGATCATTGTCTAAGCTCTCCATCAAAGGATTCATGGTAAAAGACATTTGTGCTGAAGGGACTCGGGGGATTTCCTGACCCTGCTTTTATTTTGGTAGGCTACAACCAAAATCTGAATTAACATGTTAAGTATTTAATAATTTGGATGCATTTAATCATGTTTGAACCAAAATACCTATATTTAACTTTATTACTTTGATATGTTTAAACATTGGTGGAAAAAAATAAAAGTGGTGATAAACTCACCTTAAAAAAGGTCACATCCCATTTTTACGTGGAACTACAAGTGGCGGTTACGTTATGATCAGTGCTCCATAACTAGTTGTCGATACGGACTCATCTTCTCAAATTGATTTCTTGAACAGATATGTAAGGGGGTGGGGTGGTGATGGTGGGGTTCTGGAATAATCTGTGTTTCCATCCTCAGCGGTTTCAGCGTAATGCAGTAAAGATGTCAACGCAGGATTGCACTCTGAAGTCACAGCTAAACTTCTACAAGGGAAATTCCACCAAACTTCACTTTTAGTATTTTAAGTTTTCTCGTTTATAACTCAAGGACTCCACAGAAGAGAAAGTTAACTTTGATGGAAATTCCCTTTAAATGAGCCTCGAGTGCCGTGGTGGTGGAGCGCTGACGTCAGAGATCAGTTTCAGCGGGATTCTGCAGGTTTTATTCGTAAATGTTTTTCTTTTGATGTTCCTGACTGAACTGTGAAACCAGGTAGCTCATCACGTCACACGTGTTCAACTTCAGATACAAACATTTGACTAAGATTGTTCTGATGCCAAAATCAAGAGGCCTTAATTCAGCAAAACTAGATTGTAGAGGGAGAATAAAAACGTCCTTTGACCTGAATCAAGTCATGAGTGATTCATATATGTCAAGAAAACCACTTTTGTACTCATTTTTACAGACTATTTATTAAACTGCGATTTTGTAAGAAATAAACCCTGCTGTTGGTTTTCCTTTGGTTATAGAGGTGTGCGAATTATTCTCCAACAAGTTGATTTTAATACAAACATTTATTCTTTTATCTTTAATTCCGTTTTGGAAAAACACGTTTCCACTTGAAGCAGCTGATTTTATAATTTAAAGTATCTTTTGTAGTCTTAACTCTGCATGGAACAGGCTTCATCGTTACTGTTGGCACAAGTACTTCGCTGTAGGAATTGTGTGATGTCGCATGACGTCTGGGAAAAACGGTGTTGAGTTGAAGCAACGTTTCCTCTCGCCACCACGGTGTCTCCTTCAGTTGGGATGAAGAGGAACATTAAAACATGATCCATGAAGATGTCCCGACCTTCCGGAACAACGGCAGCAGAACGGAAACGTCCAGATGAAACGGTCCGGTTACATAAACCAACGCTGCTCACCCCCACCCAGACGCATCTCAACCACCAGCTCATCTTTTAGAAAAAAGGGGCAAAGATGGAGTTTGATCGAGATGTTTCTGGGAAACACTTGGAGTGAAAAAAACAAAACAGGCAGAGCAGCAGATAACTCCTAATCCGACTGAAAACCCTCCAGCAGACTGACGTTCCGCTGCAAACCTGCAGCAGAAACGGAGACTAAGAGCAGCCTTAAAAATCAGTCTGGAACCGGTAATCTAAACTTACTTCATAAATAGTTCTCCTAAAGATTAAAAAATTATTTGATGTGCAGTCGTTCCTCATGATGCTCCAAAGGTAGAACCAGCCCAAATGTTCAGTTCTTCCCAGAGTGAGAAATTGATGATTCCCACATTCTGGAGAAATGTCATTCCAGATTTAAGAATCTTTCCTTGCAAAAAGACGCAAACAGAAACTGGGTTGGACGTTGTTGTGTGTTGGTTTGAAGTTTCAATGGAACTTTGTCGAACCAGACGAGGAGTCAGTTGAGCTTGATGGGCAGGTCCTCTCCGTATTTGCGGAGGAACTTGCTGTGATTGTGGTCGACGGACCAGAGAGGAGGCAGGTGGCGAGGCTGCATGGTGTTCAGGAAGTGCTGCCTCCAGCGCCGCTCCAGGTCCATCAGGCCCTGCAAACCCTGTTCAGCATGAGCACGAACCACCTTCAGACCATGAGGTATGTAGGCCTCGTTCAGGATCCTGCAGAGAGACCAACGCAGAGTTAATGCCTCGCTCCACGTAGATGTCTGCAGCAGAGTCAGCGGGTTACAGCTACAGGATTCTGCAGGTCAACGTGGTGAAAGCCTGCCAGGCAGATGCAGAACAGCAGACTGGAACATGTGGATAGTTTCATCCCTTCACTATCGTGTGTGTGTGTGTGTGTGTGTGTGTGTGTGTGTCCATAGAATCAGATAACAGGTCTTAGTTGTTTTCACTCAGAATACACAGCTAGACATCCATACCACTTCGTCATTCAAGGATGGACTACACAGATGGTAACATGTCAGGGGTTGTTTGATGCTCTTATTTTGAAGAGCCACTGGGTTCCTGTTGAGTGCATTTGCAGGTGAAACTGGAAAAATAATATGATGCAAATGTGCATTTACTTAGACTGAGAGACCATCTAAAGTCTCAGGAACCCCCGAAGGTGTTCTGGATTAGTTAGCTGATCGGACACTTTGGGACTGGAATATTAAATCTTTTCACAATTTTCTAACTGAGGTTTTGAATGTGGAGTTTTCATGAGCTGTAAGCCATAACCATCACAATTAACAAATAAAAGCTCGAAGGATGTGACGTTTCCTGTAACGAGTCCGTCTCATGGATCAGGCTGATTTTAACGAGAGGAGAGTCTGACCTCGTCTCCAGGCCGGCCGCCTGCTGCAGCACCTCGTCAGTCAGCTGCTGCTCCTTGTTCATGTTCAGGAAGTTTCTGATCAGCGCCTGCAGCTCCTCCCGTCTCTGCTCCGGTAGCCCTTCCCTAGCGCTGAGCAGCGCTCGCGCAGCAGAACGGACACGCCGGCGGTCTGAGTCCTCCAGCAGCCGAACTCCCTCCTCGCAGCCCTGAGGGGCGGCGAATTCCTCAGCCAGCTGCTGTTTGAGGAAACCGTCATGCACGTTGGATGCAGCATGGCAGCTGGTGCAGAGCAGCAGGATGTCGTGGGAATTGTGGTCCTTCATCTCAATCGGAAAATGTCGTCTGTATTCGTGTGGGACAATGTTCTTCCTGCAGAATCAAAAGCAGATCCTTTTAGGTTCCGTGTTTATATGCTGAAATATTCTGATGGAGCAGAGCAGCAAGACCTGATGTAGGAGTCTGCTTTGCCACAGACGACACACAGGTTCTCCTTGGCGGTCAGATAGTAGTCCTGCTGGGAGTCGGGACGTCCTGAAGGTTCAAACAGGAGTCGCACGATGAAAGGATCTTCACTCTGAAGCTCTGAGGCACAACACACCAGAAACGAGGTTTGATGGTTCAGGACGTGTGAGCAGAGCAGAAAAACTCACCAGGATAAAGATTCAATCATCACTAGGGATGTAAGAAAATATCGATATGGCAATATATCGTGATATTTTTTCCAGCAATATTATATCGATATTCAAAAATCGTGTATCGGAAATATCGATATGGCAATATATCGTGATTTTTTTCCTGCGTTTATTACATCAATATTCAAAAGCTGTGTATCTAATCTTTGAAAGAATTTACATGCAAACATTTGTGCATTTTCTTTTCGTTTTGTGCAATTCAATTGCCACCCGCTAGTTGGCAGCAGTGTGTAACAGGTTTTGTTTCCACCATTGAAATGTAAATCCCTCCATCATGGGTCAGATACCTCATGTTAAACATGTTACATATCAGTTTGGACTGTTCATTGAGCATTCTTACAATAAATTCAGTAAAAAAAATTGCTTGTAACGTCTGACTGGATGTATTGCAATATATCGTGATATATCGCATCGTCTCCCCTGTATCGTGATATGTATCGTATCGCCAGAATTTCAACAATACACATCCCTGATCATCACAAAACCAAGCCAGAGCGTACATGAGCGCGGTCGGACACGAGGGGCGGGGCTTTTAGAGTTTAGGATGACTGGAGAGGAAATTTATACTACTTCAGAAAACAGCTGAGAGCCAACTCAAGACCCGCGGGCCTAAAGCTGCCCCATCAGCTGTAGAAACCACAATAAAACTACTAGTCCCAGAATGCACTAGGACAGGCAGCACTGGCTCCTCCCCATGACTCAGGCGAGTTCCTGCTGCTGCCTTCTCTCCTGATGAGCGATTTTCACATCAGTACGTTTGTGTTTTCAGTAGTTTTCTAACAGCTTTCTGTAAAATGTTAATAAAACATTCAGAATCCAACACGGACGTCGGAGTGAATCCGTTGTGCTTGAGCTGAAAAACCCGCCTACCTCCGATCCCTTTATCCAGGTACCATTTGGCTTTCTTCTTGTCGCAGGTACAGAGAGGCTGACCATCAGGAGCGTACAGGAAGCAGTTATCGTAGAGAGGAGACTTCCTGTAAATAAAGAGTTTAGATCAGCGTCCGTCAGCAGATTACACCGGTTCCTCTCCCGCGGCTCCGTCCTCACCTGGCAGAATAACCAACACCCAGTGGTTTCCTCTTGTTCTTCCGAGGGTCTGGGACTTGCTGATCTCCAGACTCTGGGCTTTCACACGCCGCCATCTTCCGTTCTCTCCTCTTCTCTCCCTCACTGGGTTTGATGTCTCTGTATCCTCTGCCCCTAAACGGGACGTCCACCAGGCCCTGGCAGCAAGAGACCAGCTCCAGGTAGGAGCTCCTGCTGGTGGAGACGGGACCGGCTTCAGACCAGAGGCCGAGGAGACGGAGGAAGAGAGCAATGGAGACCTGAGCATCTCTGGCAGCGTAAGTCATCTAAACAAAGCAGAGGTAAGAGTCAGAGAAGGGGGTACAGCAGAGTGTCTCTAAAATTAAACATGAGAAGTAGAACCCATCACCTGCTCTAGTGTCAACTGGTCTGCCTCCCAGTCACTACAGCGCAACTCCATAGATTTATCCAGAGAAACATTCAGTAGATCTGCAGCCAGGGACTTCAGACTGAGGCCATTACTCACAGGAGACTGTCTGAGAGCAGGACAAGAGGACTTGGACCAGGCTCTTAACCATCGTCTTAAGAATGAGACTGGATGCTTCTGCGGTGCGTTACAGAAGCGACGCGATCTCTGCAGCTAACAGGAACTGTTACAGTCTAGAATTTGGTTAAGGCGAATGCGCCGTGGCATGAGGCATTCTAGCTTCTGCTTCCAGAACACATTAAGCTCCACAGTTTCCAGGAGGTTTAACAAGAAACCATACAGGATATCCGAGGTCGTCGCTGCCATAACGCGCCGCTCACACACCTGGTATAAGTTGGCGGTTAAGTAGATTTGAACTGACTCATACCTCTGTCTCAGAGCAAGATGACGCAGGTCCACTGTACATGATAGTGACAGGCCATAGTCACTTGCCAGACGCTTCCCGTCGTCATAGCAACCAACACCAACTTTTAAAACATGGGGGTCTCTGAGGACATCGATCAAGCTGTTAGGGAATGACTGCTGCTCACTGCGAAACGCCAGCAGCCTCACAAGGATGCACAGACCCGAGTAGGAGGACATCTGCAGCAGGGACACGGCCGAAGATCTGCCCTTCACCGATACCTGTGGGACAGACAGCAGCCGGGTCAGAATACCCCACTGGACCAGTCTGGTGAGGAGAGGTTTACTTTCCTCTGAAACATAAAAACATTTAAGGTATTTCTTACTCCGTCGGTCTTTACCCATTCACAGTCCAGTCCCAGCACAGGGAAAACCACCAACTCCCTCTGCATCAGAGGCCACATCTGTTGCCACTCCTCCTCAGAGCTCACCATCACCGGTTTCACCGCCAGCAGTTGGTCGAAAGACGGGATCTGGAACGGAGGGGGTGCCTGTGGGGTCTGACACTCCACGGTTTTAAAATCTTTCTCAGTAAGACAAGGTGGCTCCTCCTCGTATTGGTACTCCACAGCCGTGAGCTCATGCTCCTCAGGACACGGAGCTTCATCAGGATCCATGTTCTGCAGAGGAGGCGGCTTTTTCTTTTTAGTCTGGTACACCTGCCAGATGAGCAGTCCTCCTAAAGCCGCTCCCAGAACCGTCGTTATGACGGCGGTCAGGGGCCCTCGAGACATGACCAACAGACCCGAAACAGACTCAAACCTGAGGAGTGGGGAGGACAGGTGTTGGGACACACACATACACACTCCTGGAGACATGCCCTGCTTGTTTGTGATGTACCTTCCTTTCGTTAGTGAGCTTGAATCCAAATGTTTCTGTGATCCTGACGGTCACTGTTCATCTCTGCTGGGAGGAAAAACACCCTCTTTGATGTAATAACACTTTAACAAAAGATGTCCAATTCTACAACATCCAAACTTAAATATATGTTGTATTTTAGTGACATGTTCTCTTCTGCTTAATACCAGATGGACGGTTTTCTAAAATGCTAAACTATCTAGCTTTCTACCACCCCTGAGGCAGACAGGTCTGTAACAAAAGCATATAGAAAAAAAAATACAGGAATAAAAGTGAAGTAAATCAATTAAAGTGAATCTCCACCAAACTGGATTCTACCAGGATGCTTCAGCTCTGTCATGGCAACCAGATGAGAAAATCCTTTCAGCCACTTGCTCCTGGTACCTACGCAACCTCCTCAAGAGCTAATGAATGAAGCATCTTTTAACAGTGTGTTTTATCCCCCTTCAGTAAAATCTTGTTGATATTCTGTCCATTGATTTTAACCTATTGTTGTCAGCTTCCCCAGCTGGGATGAAACAAGAAAATCTATTTTTAAAAAACTTAGAATGATGTAAAGCAACAAAACACAAATATAGCAGTAAAAACGATTAAAAAGAAAAAGATAAAATAAATGCTAAAAGCTGAGATCCTCTGTGTTGAAATCAACGATCTGATCTAAAATGAATAAATCGTAGTTTCGAGCATACATGATTTAACAGGCAAATTTAACCCGTTAAAATTCTCGGAAGTTCATCTCAGAACCTGAATCCATCTCATCTGACCGGAACCAGGTCTTGTGCACCTGTTCTTCTGACACACCTGATTTAAATGTGCCATTAATGATTCTGCAAAAATAAAGACTAGGATAAGGAAAATCGTTTATATCGGATATTTGGACGTGAGAACTAAAACTTGAAACGTAAACATGTTTAATGTTTTAACCTAAAACACATCAACATCAAATAAGCGACCATCTAGAAACGTTTCAAATAAACGGAACAACCTTAAAAACAGTTTTCCTTCAAATTTAAGTGACAATGACAAATACTAAGTAGATAAATACTTTTAAATTCCTTCCAAGTGAGTTTAAATTGACGTTAGCTTTGCTAGCGCCTAAAGCTAACCGTTTAAGCTACTTGCTAAAAGCTCGTGTCGCTTCTTCCTACTCTGACGGTCAAACAGTGGCTTCAGAATAATCCTCCGAGTCATTTTATCTTACCTTAACGTTTCTAGCCAACTCGGCATCACTTTCGCACACGAACAGCTGCTTGCTACGCCTTTTCATGTCCTTCGGGCTCCATTTATACGATTGTGTGGCGGATTTCCGGCTAGCGCCGCCTGCTGGGCGGAGGGCTAAATACAAAGCTTCCCGTTTGGTGCCCTCTGCTGGCGGACGGAACAACCAGACAAGTTCCAAAGTTCATAAACAGTAATTAAGAATTTATTACAAATAATATATTTATAAAAATTAATCTAGCAATTACTACACACAATGTTCTGAGACACCGAATTTTGGAGTTTCCCATCTACAAGCTATAATCATCCAAATGACAAGAAATGAAGGCTTGAAATATTTCACGATGTGCAATGAATGTAATTAGTATGAATTTCACTTGATAAAATGTTTTGGAAAAAAAGCCAAAATTGTCACAATATTTTTATTTTCTAAGATGGACCTGTCTAAACACAAATTCAAGGCATATTTTAATTTAAAGAGCTGAAATCAAATTTTTCAGAAAGACAAATAATGAAAGCATCACTTTGTGTAAACTCCTCATATTATCAAATTAATTAAAAAGAACTACACTTTTTTTCTACCACCATAAATTTATTGAACCTATTAGCTTCAACTTTCTTCAACAAACTGGAATAAAGAAATGAAATAATTACAAAATGGGAAAAAATTGATTGGAGAATAGATCATATTCACAGGTTTGATTAAGTAAAATAAAAACATAACAGAGAGAAACCAAACAGGTGTGACACGTTTTCTCTCCCTGCAGTTCTCTGCTGCCGGCTGGAGCCACGGCCCGCTAACAGAAGTCCGGTCAGCATGCAGCTTCTCAGCTACTGCAGCACCACAACGGACTAAGCCATGCTGACCAAGATCACCCGTGAGCTCAAATGATCTAGTTTAGTGCTTTTGCAAAATAAAAATGAACCTAATCAGGTACTTAAAAATAACCCAAGAGGTATTGAAACAGTATCGGTTCATCCAGATGTGTTAAATAATATAAAAACAAGATTATAAAAAAAAAGAAAAAAAATAGTAAAACGTTAAGTTCTGATTTGTACTAAACTACTAAAAACGCAGCACAGACAAAAGAGGCAATCATGTAGGCACCACCACCACTGCCAGGTCCGCACTGATTGTTGCTGCAATGAAACCCAATTTCACTGTGAGGAAGTTCACATCCAATCACAGGATGGAACACACGCTGTTCTCAAAACTAAAATTAAAAATACACACAATAGTAATGCAGCTGTCCCTTCACAAAATCTCTTTACATCACATTAAAAATTAGCACTGCTGAGTGGTGTGTACAGTATAGATTCTTTTTATGTATATATATATATATATTTATATATTCATGTATAATATATACGATCGTTTCTTGTTTACATAAACATAAACTCGTTTCATCTAAGCTAGCCTTTGCCTTTGGCAAGATTACTTACAACTCTTCTGTCAATTCCAAAGCTATTTAAAATATACTTAATGCATAAAAATAAAGATTTGGCATCATCTCACTCTGTTCTCACGACTGAGACATCCTAAATGAGAATGTCTCATCTGGAAGTCCAGTCGTCTCAGTGCTAAGGTTCCTTAGCCAGGTGAGGAAGGTCATGACCCACCATCAGAGGTGGGAGGGGGGGTTCCAGGGTGCCTGGCCAGGTGAAGGCTGGCTGGGGATCAGCCTGGATTCTCCACAGGGTGATGATGACCTCCACGGTACGAACAAAACAACATGAGCAGTGCAAACGAAACGCCCGAGGAGCTGCACTCCCGCTGACAGCAATCAGCTTTCCTCTCTTTTTGTGTTTCCCACGGAAGAGTTACTCTCCCGGATGGTTCACCGGCTGTTCACCTGTCCTCCCACCTGAGGTTGTCCATCTAAACCAGAAGGGAGCAGGATGACTCTCCCATGTATCTTTTAGTCTTTACCAACCTGTCGTCTAGTCTTTCCTGATTCCAGTCCTCAGAGCTGGATCTCAAAGGTCTTCTGCAGCTCGGTTGAGAAGGGGTTTGTGGGGGAGGGTGTGGTGCGCTGTTGTGAACGGCTCTCCAGAGCTGCCCACTGGGCCTCAAAAGCATCTTCCTGCTTCGGTGGTGCAGACTGGGCAGACGGGGAGGGGGGTGGGATCTGAGACGGGGCGGCCCAGTTGTCGGCGCCGTTAAAGGTAGCGCTGCCATTGTGAGGATGGAAGGGGACGGGGTTCATCTTTGTGGACTGTGGAGGCTTCATGAAGGAACCAACATTACCAGTGAACTGTGCATCGTGCTGTGGTGCCGTGGAAGCTGTGATGGGGAACGACTGGGGGGGCGTGGCCGACCCGAACACGTTGGCCACCATCTGCGAAGGAGTGATACCAAACACGGGCACACTGGGCTGAGGAAATGGCAGCCCGTTGGTCATCGGGTAGGAAGATGGAGCCTGAACCGGCAATGCAGGCTGGCGAGGGGGCAACAAGGGTATAGCGGGGGGGACAGGAGGCAGGAAGGCAACAGGGGGACCAGAAGGAACCACAGCTACAGGGATCTGTACCGGGGAAGTGAAGGGCTGGGAAAGGGGAGCGGGTCCTGCAATGATGGAGTTGGGATGTGGAACTCGGACAGACTTGGAGACTTCGTCTAACCAGCGGTCTGCTTCTGATGGCGTGCGTTTGTGCGAGGTCATGGCTGCAGAAGATGGAGGGGGCACGACTATGACAGGTGCAGCTGATGGCCAGTCGGTACCTGTTGGGAGAAGGAACAAACATGAGTCCCGAGTGTCCTGTTAGATGTTAGTATTGATCAGAAGGAAGTGTTTGTCACATGAGGCAGACGGAATAACGATGACACAACAATGACATATGGGAACGGGGGGGGGGGGGGGGGGGGGGGGGGTTAAGGGCTACGCACATTTTGCAATTTTTTCTGCCATTTTTCTTTTGGCGATGCTGTGGTCACAATTGTTTACAGCTGCTATCTTCCTATTGAGCCTTGCCAAATGAAATGATCTACCCATATTACCAAAGTGCTAAGGCAGAGATTAAAAGAGGAAACCGTTCTGCAGCTTGGTGGTGAGGGGAGCAGCCGAACAGCCCTCTCCCCAGCAACCTCCACCAGATCTACCAGTGAGATCCACAGGTGCTGACCATGATCCCTCCAATGTGTCTTGGTACCCGGGGCCCTTCTGCCAGCAGGACATGCCTGAAACACTTCCCCTGGGAGACATCCTGACCTGACGCCAGAACCACCTCAGGTGGCTCCTATGAACACTGAAGAGCAGCGGCTGTCCTCTGAGACTGTCCCAAATGTCTGAGCTCCTCACCCCATCTAAGGATGAGCCCAGCCACCCCACAGAGACACTCAAACTCCTCCACTTTAGGCCGGACTTCTCCGATCTGGAGTTGGCAATCCACCTTTTTGTGCTCAAGAACCATGAGCATGGAATTGGAGGTGCTGACCTTCATCCAAGCAGCTCAGTTGGCCAAGTCCAAATCTCACCAAGCACAGGTGTTTATAGAGATTAGGTGGCTTTTAACAGAAAGCTACGATTGCAGTTAGGCAAACTCCCTCACCCCCGCCATCATCCTAGCCAGGGTAAAGGCTTGGTTCACGGTCCCACGTCAACACAAAAGCCACATTGCTCCTCCTCAATCCAAGGTTGAGCCATCAACCAGACCTCCCCAGGACCTTGGCGTAGACCTGTACAGGTGATCCTCCAATAGATGTAAGGCACACTCTAGCCTCCTTTCATACAAATGGGGACCACAACTCCCATCTGCCACTCCACAGGCACCGACCTTAGTGTCTCCTAAACGTTGCAGGTGTGTGTTAATAAGACAGTCTTACAACCTCGAGACACCCCGACGGATTTCATTTCCCTGCACAGACGCAGCTACCTCAGCAACCTGCACTCGAGAGTGGTCGATCCATACATTTGTCCAGCAGCTCTGGTTCCTCATTGGAAAACATGGGTGGGATTAAGAAGCTCCTCAGATTATACCCTAAACCTTATTACTGTGAACAAGGAACCATTTTCAGGTTGTTAGCAATTTTTTTCTGTCAGATAAAAAAAATACACCAAAGTAAATCATACCACCACACAGTATTTCCTACGGAGCTGCCTGTTTCGAATGTGTTTTTGTAAAGCTGCAGGAAGAGTTTCACAGGAACAGACGATTAATGGGTTAGCAAGAGCTTCAGTGCTGCAGGTGGGAACTAACTCACTTTACACCTCCTATCTGTCACAGCTCAGAGCTAAAGCTGAACTCTCCAGTAGTTCGCTATGCATGTTCTAGTTTTAAAAACGCTTCAGACACAATGGTCTTCTCTGGATGTCTGCTGCTGTCTGATGTTAGGTTCTCACCTGTCTGTGGTGTGACAGCCAGGGCTGAAATGAGAACAGGCTCTGAAACGTTTGCTTACCTGGCTGCGCTGAGGGCGGGGCCCCTCCTGGGCTCTTGGCCCAGGGGTTAGTGTCTCGAGCGGGGAAAGCAGGAGGCAGGACTGGAGGGTTAGCAGCAACAGAGAAGGAAGGCAATGTGCCGTTCACTAAAGCAAAGAACAGACAGACACTAGTTCGAGTCTGCTGGCTAGTTAGACGCTGCCATGCAGGTTAAACTTAAACGGCATCTTTAAAACCTGAGGGTGAGGCGAGTCGCTCATGCAACACACTGAGTGGAGCTCTAAAAACCAAGGACTTTACCTGAAGCCACCGGAGACTGTGGAGATGACGCCGGTTTGGGCATTGGAGCTGAGGTAAAAGGGTCCTCTGGGGGTCCGCTGAATGCTGAGGTGATCTGAGTACACAGTGAGCTAATGCTGTCACCTTCTCCTTCTACCTCTGGGACTGCAGGAGGAAAGAGAGGAAAAGGTGAGTAAATAATTGCTTTGAGTATAATGTGTACTTCCTCTCCATTTGTAAGCTAAATGTATGTGTTGTTTTAATAAGGGGCAGAACAAGGGCAAAACATACTGGAGGCGCATGAAGCTCGTATATAAAAAAAAATCTAAAAACAAACAAACAAAAAAAAACCTCCCACACTTTGCGGGGTCCAGCAGCATTGTTCAATTTCTCTTGAAATAGAAAACCAACACTCCGGAAAAAATCTCATTTTTATTCCCAGGCTTCTTGTTGGAACCTCCAGGCTCCCGTAGCAGCTTTTCTCTACTCTAATAGCAGCAGCGTAGTCTGTAAAATACAAATACTACAAACTAGCATGTCTTTCAGGAGACCAAAGGTTAACAGTTACATTAATTGGAAAGAGATCTAATTTTTACAAAGTGAGCTTTGTACAATAACTTTATATATTTACATTACTATTAAAGGTGTGGAATGCTGTAAAACATTTTATACTGATTATTTCTGATTATAATCAATCACTGAGATTTTCATGCAGGCTGAACATGAAAAAAGTCTCCTACACCTATCAGCTGCAGTAGCTTCTGATAGAAAATAGACAGTAAAGCTCTAGGATTAGAAAATACTGACAGATCTACGTCACACTAGGGCTGCTCGATTATGGCAAAAATAATAATCCCAATTATGGTGACTGAAATTGAGATCTCGATTATTTAGGACGATTTTTCAATTAATATTGATTTTATTTGTTTTTATTCAGTCATAAAACTGCTCAGGGCACAATCAGGACAAAAATAAATAAGAAACAAGATGATCACTAAAAGAACTCCTGATTCCCAGTATAAAAAGACCAATATACTTATAGCTCATAGTCTATGACCCAAGGGCTATAGACCTTGGTTTAACTCATTTAAGTCTAACCAGTACAGACCCAAATACCAATATCTTGCAAATACTGACAGCAAGAATATTACAGTGGCATTTATAACAAATAAATGCAAATAAATTGATGTTCACAAAATGTTGCCTAACATTTATTGAGTCATGTCAAGGTGCTGTAGGAGAGTGCACTAGCACCGTGTCCTCAGAGAGATTAGTTATTATTTATCAGAGTGAGGAAGTTATTTCTACCTTATTTATAAACTATGTATTTACAAGTCGTCCATTAGTAAATGTAATAATTGTCCCAACCACAGCTGCACCCCCCACCCCCCAACCCAGTCTCATCAATCGGGGCAAGCTGCACGTGTGTTTAGCGCGCCGCACGCGCACATTTAGCCATTTTTAGTGGCTCAGGAGTCCGCAGGAGCGGTGTGTGTGTCACTCACTCTGGTTACTCCAACAGGGAGCCGGCTCCGAGAGCCGTTTCTTTAGCGACCGACACATCACTACATCATTCCCTTTCCTAATGTCCTGAAGAACGGTCCGGAGCGCAGGCGGAGTGTTTAGCTAACCTGCAGGAAATGTCGACGACAATTATCCAGAAAGTAGCTAAGGGTTACCAGAGATGTTTCTGAGATGTTCGCCAGGTACTTTTAAGATTTAAAAAGTCAAGAAGGGGGTCTGAAAAGCTGTTGGAAATAGCGTCAAAGTCGCCAAGTTGGCAACACTGTGGGAGGAGCGCTTCATTTGCAACTTGGGGCAGCGCAAGTGGGAGGAGCAAATAATCGGCTCGTTTTGTTTTTATAATCGTTCAAAACTCAGATCGTAATCGTGATTAGATTAATTGAGCAGCCCTACGTCACACTGTCACTTAACATTCATGGACTCACCCATATGAACTCACAACGGGGAAGGCTGTTGTTGGTTTAGAGTCCAGGAAACAGCAGAGAACGTCTAGGCTAGTAGAAGCTAACTGTGAGCATTAGCAACTCCACCACAGAGCAGAACTCCTTCAGGCTTGTGTTATTGGTGAAGATAAAACATTAACTTTGCAGAGGAAACGGAGCCAGTGGTAGAGTCGTGTTGCAGTTAGCCAGTCAGAGGAGATATGGCCACATATCAGGAAATAAGACTCCAAATCCTGTCGCGTGAAGCTACCTTCTCCTCCAGCTGAATAATCCGTGTGTGCTTCATTCCTACTAGAGACCACTGCAAATGTGTTGATCTAATGAGTGCTTCACACTTTTAAAATAGGATGAGTCATCAACTGACTGGTTTGTTCAGTTCAGGTCTGAATCGTTCCCAGGCAAAAAAAACAACCAGCATGGCGTCTGAGTGCTAATGCTGCCAGACTGCTCACATGTCGTAAGGCCAAAGCTCAAACTAAACCAGTGAGAAGTTATTTCTTCCCACAGTCATGACTTTAGTCTTTACTAACCTGTATTTTTCATGGGGAAATCAGACTTGCGCTGCATGGTGGAGGGCAGCTCGTTCATCCGCAGTGACAGCTGTCTTTTAAAAGGCGACGTTTTCTGGCTGAGGGCAGGGAAGCCTCTGAAGGAGCCCTGCCGGGCGAGAGCCTCGACCGGTGCGTGTCTACGGGGTATCACCTGAGGTCCGAGAGCGGTCACTGAGAGAGGCGGGGAGGACGAGGGAGATGGGCAGCTTCCTGGCTGGTGACCAGTGGCGTTTGTCACACTGTTAACCAGGTTTGCAGCCATCATGTCTGTTTCTGCTGTAAAGACAGAAGAGCGAGAATGAGCCTAAGAAATGGATGGATGTCTCTTTAAAAGCTTTGAGTCCATTTTTGTACAAAATCAGCAAAATAAGATGTTTGAAGGGAGCGATTATCTAAATGAAACACACCAGGAGTGACCAGTATAGAAATGTCATCCGGCCCTTTTCTCCCAATTCAAAACTAATTTATTAAAACGTTGTAGTAACACATGGGTAGGGTTTCTCAGTGTCTCTGTTCTAGCTGTAGGCAGGAAGGGTCTTCTTAGTTGCAGCAGATATGAAGAAGCCTCAGACTGAAGACACCCAGTTGCTGAATTACTGTCTTGAGGAGAGGACGATCAGGGTTGTCCATCGTGTTCTGAAGCATCCTCCTTTGTCCATCCACCTCTAGGGGCTCCTGATTTGTTCCCAGAACCGAATGTTTTAATCAGCTTCTTCAGCTTTTTGTAACCACAGGTTCTGACGCAGCTGTCCCAGTATATGACAGCAGAACAGATGACACTCTCCACAACAGACCTTTAGAAGATCTGGAACATCTGGCAGCACACACTGAAGGATCCAGTCTTCTCTGTCCTGTTGTCTGGGGGCAGGAGAGGAAGATGCTGAACTGAATCTAATAAAGAACATGTTCTGTTTGTTGGCTTTGTTCAGACTTCCATCAGTGCGACTTTCCTTCTGCTTGAAGCCAGTAATGTTCTTCATCTTGACCACAGATGTTTCCTGTATCCTGCTTTGGTAAACTTCAATAACTCTCTTGTTCTTGTTCAGCAGTTCCTTCAGGTCAGAGGTGATCCAGGGTTTGTTGTTGGGGAAGACCCTCACGGTTCTAGTGTGGATGATGATGTCCAGGCAGAAGTTTATACAATCAGCCACACACTGATGTCACTTAATCAGTCCAGAAGTTCAAACGTCGGCTTTTTTAATACTGACCCTTTTTAGCATCCTGCAACTGTCTCATGACTTCTTCTCGTTCAGCAGCCTCTGTTGCCGTAGTAATGCGAAATGAGCCCTCCCGAGTGAAAGTGGTTCGGTTTGCATCAAAGGTTGCTGTGACACCACATTCCTTCTCCCGTTTCTGTTTCCGCTCCAGACACGCGGCGAATGCACAACCCACAGCGTGGCTGAGCCTCTCGCCCTGAAACGACACAAGCCTTTCAGACGGCAGTATCGCGACCACAATGTTGCAGATTCAAACAAGGGAACGTTTTCCCGTGTGAGAGCTCATTGAATAAACATAGAATCTAAAGAAAGTCCAACATCCAAGGTGAGTTCTTACCGAGTCTTTAATGGCCATGAAGCAGTGGCAGATCCAGCGCCGCGTGGTGCCGTCCCTGCAGATGTAAGAGAAGGCTCTCTCAAAGTTCCTGTCCGGGGCGCAGAACGACACCTTTTCTATCGTCTGATCCAAAATAAGGTCCTGCAAAGAGGAGTTCCCCTCATTTATGCATCACATTACAAACTCAAGAGGCTTGAGTGTGAGCCGTATAACCGACTCATCTGCAAAGATGGATCTCATGGCGTCACTGTTCAAGATGAAACTCACGATTGCGACCTTCTGAAAGTAAAAGCTTACGTAGTCCCAGTGCAGAGGGGACCTGTATCAAAATTCTTATGATAAAATTGATTTCTAAAAGTTATTTCATCTGAAGTTTTGCTCTTTAGAAAACGAGTAGATTTCTTACACACCTCAGTAAGCTGATATTACAATTACACTCCATCAGATACATTACCTTACAGATCTTCTATTTGTCTAAACATTAAACTAATGAGCCAGAAAATTAAAGTCAGTAATATCTAAATGTGTACTTGAGACCCTCTCAGCTAACGCCCACCAAACTGAAACATTATCAGGGTTTTCCAGCAGGTGTCAGTGTTCGCCCATGAACAGCTCTGCAGGTGAACTGTGTGTGGCTTGCTATCAGGACTAGTGGAGGTCATTAGACCTGAACTAGAGCAGCTTTTCAATCATTAACATCTGGAGCTGAAGAACTAATGATTTTAGTTTGTGTTTCTGAATATTTATCAGCTTGTTAAAGACGAGTGACGAGATGTTTTACCTTCGTTTTATCATCGACAACGCGAAGCCCGTCTGCCGACACCCACAACACAGCTCGCACGGCCTTCTTCCCAGCCTGCAAACGCACACACAGCAACAGGTTAAACACAACCTCTTATTTACCTCTACCCTACTTCATTACTTCCCAGTTCCATCGTACCTATTCATAAAAAGCTTGTCACACACGCACGCACACACACACACACCTGTAAATGAGAGAGAGTGACTAAAACGAGCTGTTTTCTGAGAGCTGTCACACAAAAGGAGACACATTCTGACAAAGTGAAGAAGGTTGGTGTGAGAATTGGTGCTCTGACGCAAACAGGAAGTGATGATCCCATTGGTTAGAACAAAACAAAACCCAACAATCAAAAGGAAATATTCATTCACACAATGTTCCATTCTTGGTTCATGGCAGCAGGGCTGAAGGGAGAGAAGGCACGCCCGATAATCCAGACCCAAACACACACTGTGCCCCACCCTGGCCTGCCCAACCCCCCCAGACACATGCACTAGGGTGTCGGTCTCACTTCAGACACATTTCCCCTGTCTGTGTCCATGTGCTTCCTCCAGCAGCCACATGTGATCAAAGTGTGAGGTGTGAGAAGGAAGCAATAATTAAAATGCTAAGAGAAACACTAAGACACACAGAACCAAAAACTTACTTTAGTAAAGAATCCTTTGAAGAATTTCCTGTCCTGAAAGTGGATGTGGTAAAAGGGGGGTGGGTGAGAGAGATGGAGGAGATGAGGGGACAAGGGGTATGAGAATGTTACCTAGGAATGGACTGGAGCCCGTTCTGATGGGAAAGGGTTTGGTGAAGCTGGGTTATGAGTGAGCAGTTAGCTTTGTGATTTCTTGAGGTTCCGATGAGTGAGATTTTGGTCATGGTAAACATGTTAGTAGAACCATAAATGAAGAAAATAAACCCTTCCCAGCAGAACCCCCTCCAACTGTAGAACTTTGGTTCTGTTGGATCTGAATGATCAAAGGTGGAATTTCCCCAGATTAAGAGTGGACACTGAGCAGCCTGGACAGAGGAGACATGAAAACACACCTCTGGTTTCTAGAGCAGGATATGATCCTTCCACGGCTGGCTCAATAGACAGAAACAAACGATCGCAGAGGATCAATCTTGTGAGCGTTCACAGATCACCTGGAGTCTGGGGTCATGTTTGGGCAGCTGCAACTTCTTTAAACCAAAAGCAGAAGCAGAACGAACCCAGCACCCCCCCACAGCCACAGTGGAGATGGCACCCAGCGCACCGAGTTATGCATGATTTAGTATGTTAGCCAGAACTGCAGATTCATTCAGGGTGAGCTAAACACTTGTGTGTGTGTGTGTGTGTGTGTGTGTGTGTGTGTGTGTGTGTGTGTGTGTGTGGTGTGTGTGTGTGTGTGTGTGTGTGTGTAAACCACAGAGACATGCAGTAATGGAAAGGCGTGCACAGTGTTAGTAAGCTACAGTTAGGGGACGTAGCTCGACAGCGAGATAACTGAATGGAGGGGGGGGGGGGTATTTGGAAGCATTTCTCTGCTATTAAACCTGCTTAAAAAAAGACAAAAAGTGTAACACCAACAAAAGATTAAACATTATTCAAGTATTAAATGTGTGAATGGGATGAGACACGTGTTCAACTGAAGATGGAATGAAGACGATGTTTAGATGAGGGAGAAGGACAAGGACCTAAATGAACCTGCGTTTGTTTCTGAGCACTTGAACAGACAAACATCCGCATCGCTGCGAGTGAGAGGCAGCTTCGTTTTACAACACCACAGGATTTGTAACTAGAACACTTTGTGTAACTTCTCTGTACAGTTTGTGAAACTATCCATGGCTGACCAAATCACCCGTAAACTCCAGACAGAACACCGATTACCTTCAGCAGGCTCTGATGTATGAGGCAAACGCCCTTCATCATCTCCAGGTGTGGTGGTCCACCTGACTCACCCAGGAAACAACACATGTCACAATACCACTGAGACCCATACTCGCGCCCACCAACAAAAGGAAGTGACATCATGATGACAGCACAAAACAGCAGCTTGGAGGTTGATGGTGCCGCAGTGCAGCCTCCTTCTCCACCCGCCTCCATCCTCCCTTCTGAGTCATGGGTCGCAGAGCAGCGAGAAAACTCTCATTACTGTCCCAAAGGCTGCTGGGAGTACAGATGCAATTGGCTCACAGCTGTCTGCACGCACGCACGCACAAACACGCACGCACGCACAAACACGCACGCACGCACGCACAAACACACACACACACACACACACACACACACACACACACACACACACACACACACACACACACACACACACACACACACACACACACACACACACACACACACACACACACACACACACACACACACACACACACACTCTTTCCAGTGCAGCAGCTACAGACTTCTCTCTCTCTGACTATTCCAGAGGACCCTCATCATCTCTGCTACGGTCTGACTGATGCAGCAGCCACCCTGGTTGCTAACCTGCTCTAATCTCACTAGAAGAAAACAATCATCAGTCCATTCCAGACATCTGGAGCCTGCAAGCTCACGACCAGATCCCAGCACAATTTAGTTATTAGCTCCTGAAAATAGAGTTTACTCACTGTGCTATGAGAACAGTTATGTTCTCCAGTGGTGGGGCCTGCATTTGTTGCCTGGCAACAGTCATCTTATTAAAGAATCGGGGAAGATGAAGTCCATCATAGCCTTGCTAATTGTGTATTAGCTTAAAGGATTTTTCTGGTTAGCTCTGACAATCTGACTTGAACAATGATCTCTGGCATCGGGAGTCTGCTGCCAGTTACAGAGATCATAACGGACTCGAGGCTAAGATTCAAATAATCTGTCACACACACACACACAAACCTTTTCTAAGTCTAAAGCTCTTTTATTGTGACTTTCTTTTGTTTTCAGGAAGAATTCAGGACAAGATACCAACCCACTAGCTAATTCTGGTTCCAGCCCGTAGCCTTCTGACCACTAAAACAACCCGATGAAGGGTCATGACTAAAGTGACTCACCGGTAATAACAGCTGGTTATTTTGTACAGCTCTGACCCATGGATATAGATTTTGGGTGATATCTCAAAGAAATAAAATTACAGAAAACATTAAAAAAACAGATAAATGTCAAAATTTTGATTCTGGAGGTAAAAACTACCACGTGATTTTTGAGTTTCAGATCAGCCAAACACCTATTTACACCATTGACAGCTTCTGATTCCCGGCTGGTTTTTCTGAGCATCTCTAGTAACCAGAACACTCATAATTCTAATTATTATATAAAGTGAGAAGGAGGACATCCTTCCATTGTTATGCCTTTGGGAAGATGACAGAAATGCAGAACGACACGTCCTCCTTCCATCAAAATGTAACTAAGTGCATCTTTAACTGTGATTAGTTTCTGGCAGAGAGGAGCGCAGAACACAGGCGAGGTGTCGGTTCAAATCCTGATGGTGGAGGTTTGCTGCTGCTGTGCCTGAGTGAGGCGAATGCACCGGCTGATCCACATGTGCGTCTGCATGTAAATGTAGACCCGTTGAGAGTTTAAAAGAAGAACACACAGAGCTCCTAATCCCAAACAAACAGAGACAGGAGACACAGAAATCCCAGATGTTAGAGGACGGATGTTTTCATTTGTGTTATGTCTGACAGAAGGAAGTTTAATAAAAAAATAACACATCAAACATAAAATTCCAGCCATGCTTTTTTAAAAACGTGATCATCACCACAGGCAGATAGAATCCCTTTACAGAACGTTCCCAAGTGAAGCCCAAAGCCATTCAACTGTGACTCCATGTTTGTTGTTTGGAGGAGATTTTTAGCACAAACTTATCTGACTTTTGTCAAAATAAACAGTGACAATACACTCATTGTTCTCATTACATGCATAATATTAATTATTTTGTTGTTCTAAAAATTTTTTAGTTTAATTTTTGTTTCAGAAAAGCAAAAGCTCTTTTTATGGGTTATTATTTTTAGTCTTTACTTTAAAAACAGACAGAGAAAGCAGAGCGATGGCGTAAAGGTTACAAAAACTACTTTTAACCGACTAAAATTATGAGAATTTGTTGTTGGGTCTCGAAAACTTGAAGTCATTTAACTTACCAACTCAAATAATAATCAAGTCTCTTTGTGTTAGCTTCAATGCCACTCTAGTCCTGTTAAAAAGGGGCGTGGCATTAAAGTTCAACTATGTCCAGGAAGGGGCTCTAACACGGGATTGGCTGCTGCTCTCATCTTTATTTCTGCAACAGAAGATGGAGCCACTCTGACACATTTTGGAGGTTTTCTGTTGAGCAAAATAACAAGAAACCAGAGCAGCAGAGGTTTCCAGAGCGGTGAAAAAGTGAAGGAAAGAAGAAGGCCAAAGGTCCCAGAGATGGATGATGTCATCCATCTGAATGTGGTCACCTGTAGAACAACAGCAGGCGGCAGAATGGCGTCTCCTTTTGAGTTGGCTTCATTTTGTCGACCTGTAACTCTATAAGGCCCAGCAGCTGCAGGCTGTATGTGTGTGTGTGTGTGTGTGTGTGTGTGTGTGTGTGTGTGTGTGTGTGTGTGTGCGCGCGCGCTCCATGTGAGCTCATGAGGTGCAAGTGTGTACAAGGTAACGTGTGTTTTTATGAGTCTTGTATCTGTGTTCACCCTTTGTACTTTTGTACACTTTGTGAGTTGGTGTACACTTGCCTCAGGCTTTACTTCTTCCTCTGTGGGTTCGTGTGTGTGTTCAACATAATCATTGTTGGGTTCAGTGTGTGTGTGTGTTCAATGCCAAGTGTTTACAAGTGTGTAAAACAGTAAGATGTGAGCTTGTTGTGTGGCACGTATGGGTTTCAGATAGAAATGTGTTTCATGTGGTTTCATGTCAATTATTCTTCTCTGGCCCTACTGACAGCGTAGAGGCTGAAGTGTGAAGACGTTAAAGAAGACACGTACGTGTGTGTGTGTGTGTGTGTGTGTGTGTGTGCGCGCGCTAACCTAAACTCCATCCACCACCCTGCTTGCATCAATCAAGTTGCATGCCTACACACACACACACACACGCGCGCACACACACACACACGCGCGCTCGCTCGCTCGCTCTGCACAAAAACGCTGAAATGAATGTTTGGTTCAGATTTGCTCTATCTGCTTGTTGGGCTCATTGTGCCGCGAGGGTTGCAGGTTTCACTGTTTTAATCACAAACATCAGTCTCAGTTAAGGTGATAATCGTAGAAGAACCAGAGAGTTTGAGGCGATTTAAACTCATTCTTGCATTGTGCCACCAGACTAAAGGGCCTGCTATAAACACAGGAGTTAGTGTGAGGGACCCAAACGGAAACCAAAACCCGACAGCAGACATGAGGCTCATTACCTGCACCGGTACAGAAACCAATTAGGTCTGTGCTGAAACACGACTACAAATCTCCCGTGTGAAGCGTAGTGACTCAGAGAGACGGAGCTAATCAGCTAACCTGCCAACTCAGGCACTGACATCACAGAATCAGCTTCTTCTCCAGGCAGGGGTTTATGACCTGGGAGGGGCTTTCAGCTCACAACTGATGACATGGAAAAGAAATTGCTCTCTAGCTTTCCTTCATCCCGCCTCCTACTCCCCAAACTGGAATTTGCTCCTTTTTATGCAACTCTGGTGGAACGAATACACGGGAGCAGGAAGTACACGCCGGCAGCTCTGCTCTGGCTGAGACTGAGCGTGTGGTGAGTGATGACCCTCGCTGACATCTAACAAATGATAGAACCTCCAGAAGGAGAAACTAACTCTAAACGGGAATAAACGATGAAACTAGAGTTCACGCAAGGGTCGGAAACAAACAGATGAGTGTAATCAGGACAAAGATTTGGGTGGGAGGAAAAAAAACCTACCGTCTTCAGCCGCTTCACAGCGTCTTCGCAGATGTGCATGCCTCTGGATTCCTCCACTTCCACATGTCCGAGGTACTGCAGGACAGACGTAAACAAAAGAGGAAATAAAATAACGTGACAAACCATATGCTGATTACACCTGAGATCACATAAATACAGCAATAACTACCCTGATATGTGTTGGTGACTTTAAACCAAATTAACTACCATCTAAACTTATTTATCCAAGCTTTCATCAGTGGATTTGCTGCAGAGTAGAAAAATATTCTCTAAGGAAAGTATTTTTATACACAAAAAGATGCACTGTATTACATGCATGCAACATGCTTGTTGTGCCAAACAGTGGCTCATTGCAAAGCTAAGCCAGGTGTTGTTGTTATTGGGCAAATACTTTCAAAAGGCTGTGGTGATTGTGCAATCCTCGTTACTCAAGCTCTACTTTACTATGCCATGACTCACGGAAACAGATCACCCCCTCGCTTCCCACAACGTGTCATAACAGAAGCAGGTTAATTCAAACCAATTAGAATAATTATAATCACACATCGAGTGAGTTTCAGACATCAAGTGTCTGCAGAAACCAAACCAATCTGCCCACAGTAGCACATCCACACATGCTGTGACCATTAATGCAGTGTATGTCAACACTGCTACTCACAGATCTGGGTTAACGTGCAAGAAAACACAGATCAGATGTCACTTCTAGTCTGAACACACCCCTCACCCCTCCAAGACCCAAAAACAGCACCAGCAGCACTCCATTCACATCCCTGACCTCCTCAGAAGCTATTGTGCATGCTGGGTCCAAGAGGAAGTCCTACCCTTTCCTTTCCTTTCCTTTCCTTTCCTTTCCTTTCCTTTCCTTTCCTTTCCTTTCCTTTCCTTTCCTTTCCTTTCCTTTCCTTTCCTTTCCTTTCCTTTCCTTTCCTTTCCTTTCCTTTCCTTTCCTTTCACTCACACTCACACACACACACACACACACACACACACACACACACACTCACTCACACACACACACACACACTCACACTCACACTCACACTCACACTCACACACTCACACACACACACACACACACACACACACACACACACACACACACACACACACACACACACACACACACACACACACACACACACACACACACACACACACACACACCAGAGTGAGTGCTGCTGACCCACGTCTGTCACCCCACCCTCTGGTCCTGCTATTTTAAGACTGTGATGTAATAACTGAGTCACACTGTGAAGTCTACTAGAATACACATGTGAATGTGCTCATACGTGATACACACACAAACACTGATGCGAGGAGGCAGATGTGGGTAGGTTAAGATGCTGAAAGCTGCAGCTAAATGGAGAAGAGTGAAAGCTGATGCGAGTAAACGCAGGGGAGGCCTGGAGAGTCACAACAGACGCTACAGCTCATCCTTCTCTGATGGCAAAACAATCTGTTGGAAACAACAACAACAAACACTCATCAGCAAACGTAGAGATGTCATTAACGCCACTCTCACTGGGGGACTGTTGGAGACGCAAAACCTCCATTTAGAACTGCGATGATTTGGTACGATCCACACTTCTGACACATGATTGATACACTCTTTGGCCACTTTATTAGGTCCACTCAATTAGTACCGGGCTGACACTCTTTGTCTCACCAGAACCTCCTTATTTCTTCATGTCCCACCCAAAAGGCTGTCTGAAACCTTCCTCAGAGAGGTTCTGGTCCGTACTGACATGACAGCAACACTGGACTGGATCTGGTGACTGTCGAGGCTGGTGGTCATGTTCTAGAAACCAGTTAGAGATGATCTGAGCTTTGTGACGCTCTGCATGACCCTGCTGGAGGTAGCCATCAGAATATGGGTCCATAAAGGGAAGGACATGGTCAGCAACTATTCTCCGGTAGGCTGTGGTGTTTAAGCCAGGCTCAATTGGTGCTGAGGGGTCCAGAGTGGGATCAGATAATTCAACCAGGATGGATCCATGCTTTCATGCTACAGACACCAAACTCTGACCCTACCATCTGAATGTTGCAGCTGACCAGACCCAGACCAGGACATTTTTTTTTTCCAGTCTCTTCTCCAAGTCCAGTTCTGGTGATCCTGTGTGAACTGGAGCCTCCATTTTCTAATCTCAACTGACAGGAGAGACACCAAGTGTGAACTTCTGCTGCTGGGGTCCATCTGAAGCAGCTGCTGTGCTTCACTGATGCTGCAGATCTTACTGGAGCTGATGGTGTCTTTCTATCCTCTAGAACCAGTCTGATCTCAACAAGACACTTTCCTTCACACAGCTGCTGCTTACTCAACATTTCCTCTCTTTCAGACCATTCTCAGTAATTCCCAAAGATGGTTGTGGGTTAAAATCCCAACAGATCAGCAGGTCCTGACCAACTCGTCTGGTACCAACAACAAACATTTACTAAATCATCTTTCTTCTCCATTCTGATGTGGAGTTTTAACCTGAGCCTGGGGGTGTGACATATACTAACAAATACACTGACATGAGTACATATACAGGGAGTGCAGAATTATTAGGCAAGTTGTATTTTTGAGGAATAATTTTATTATTGAACAACAACCATGTTCTCAACGAACCCAAAAACTCATTAATATCAAAGCTGAACGTTTTTGGAAGTAGTTTTTAGTTTGTTTGTAGTTTTAGCTATTTTAGGGGGATATCTGTGTGTGTGCAGGTGACTATTACTGTGCATAATTATTAGGCAACTTAACAAAAAACAAATATATACCCATTTCAATTATTTATTTTCACCAGTGAAACCAATATAACATCTCCACATTCCCAAATTTACATTTCTGACATTCAAAAACAAATCAGCGACCAATATAGCCACCTTTCTTTGCAAGGACACTCAAAAGCCTGCCATCCATGGATTCTGTCAGTGTTTTGATCTGTTCACCATCAACATTGCGTGCAGCAGCAACCACAGCCTCCCAGACATTGTTCAGAGAGGTGTACTGTTTTCCCTCCTTGTAAATCCCACATTTGATGATGGACCACAGGTTCTCAATGGGGTTCAGATCAGGTGAACAAGGAGGCCATGTCATTAGTTTTTCTTCTTTTATACCCTTACTTGCCAGCCAAGTACTTGGACGCGTGTGATTGAGCATTGTCCTGCATGAAAATCATGTTTTTCTTGAAGGATGCAGACTTCTTCCTGTACCACTGCTTGAAGAAAGTGTCTTCCAGAAACTGGCAGTAGGACTGGGAGTTGAGCTTGACTCCATCCTCAATCCAAAAAGGCCCCACAAGCTCATCTTTGATGATACCAGCCCAAACCAGTACTCCACCTCCACCTTGCTGGCGTCTGAGTGGGACTGGAGCTCTCTGCCCTTTACCAATCCAGCCACGGGCCCATCCATCTGGCCCATCAAGACTCACTCTCATTTCATCAGTCCATAAAACCTTAGAAAATTCAGTCTTGAGATATTTCTTGGCCCAGTCTTGACGTTTCAGCTTGTGTGTCTTGTTCAGTGGTGGTCGTCTTTCAGCCTTTCTTACCTTGGCCATGTCTCGGAGTATTGCACACCTCGTGCTTTTGGGCACTCCAGTGATGTTGCAGCTCTGAAATATGGCCAAACTGGTGGCAAGTGGCATCTTGGCAGCTGCACGCTTGACTTTTCTCAGTTCATGGGCAGTTATTTTGCACCTTGGTTTGTCCACACGCTTCTTGCGACCCTGTTGACTATTTTGAATGAAACGCTTGATTGTTCGATGATCACGCTTCAGAAGCTTTGCAATTTTAAGACTGCTGCATCCCTCTGCAAGATATCTCACTATTTTTGACTTTTCTGACCCTGTCAAGTCCTTCTTTTGACCCATTTTGCCAAAGGAAAGGAAGTTGCCTAATTATTATGCACACCTGATATAGGGTGTTGATGTCATTAGACCACACCCCTTCTCATTACAGAGATGCACATCACCTAATATGCTTAATTGGTAGTCGGCTTTCGAGCCTATACAGCTTGGAGTAAGACAACATGCATGTAGAGGATGATGTGGACAAAATACTCATTGGCTTAATAATTCTGCACTCCCTGTATATATATATATATATACATATATATATACATATATATATATATATGTATATACATATATATATATACATATATATATATATATATATATATATATATATATATACATATATATATACATATACATATACATATACATATACATACATATACATAGATACATATAAAAATATATATATATACATATATACATACATATATATACATACATATACATATATACACACACATATATATATACACGCACACACACACACACACATATATATATATATATATATATATATATATATATATATATATAAATATATGTGCACACTGAGGATAAAGACATTAATCAAAGCTTAATTTTGTAAAACACAATTTAAGACAGTTGTTTACACACGGTCACGTTTTAAAACATAACTCCAACCCCATGACGTAGGCACGTACAGAAAGTGCCAGTGAAGTGAGCCAAAGTTGCAAGCAGGTGGCAGGCAGACTTATCAACAAAACAATGGAGGACGATATTTTGGATAAAATTTGTTCGGGAGTTTACATTCTTAAAAGAAAGGAGGGACAAACTGCTAAATCGCTGGTTTGGGAAAGATTCAGCAAGGTAATAAGCACAGACAACAGCAGCAGCATTGGCTGGACAAAACAAGAACATAACAGGTAATGCGTTTGTTTGCTTTCAAAATGTTTGATAAAAGTTGTAAAATGTTTTATTATTTTGTTTGCCCAAGCATGGGCTCTAGGTGCTGTTTTTGTTTTGGTTATTGCACTATTAGTAGGGAAACAAACAAAAAACCCTTGTTTCATTTAATTTTAAACTTTCTTTATCTGCCTATTTTTATTTTTTATTTTAATTTTTTATTTTAGCCTTTAAAAATGTAAATGTTACTACCATTTTCCAGTGCCAGTTTGGGGGCTATTTAACGCACCTTTGTCTGAATAAAAGCACATTCAATCAATAACGTGTTTTTAATGAGGCGGGTCGGGGCGGCGCGGGTTGTAAAAATAGACCTAGTGAAGCGGGGCGGTTTGGTGCGGATCAGACGTTATCAAATCTGCGGTACCCGCGGGTTCAAAAGAACCCTAACCCTCACTAGTGCTTACAGCCTGAATGCTTCTGATTAGTCACAGCAGTGTCCTTGGAGAGACAGACACCAGGACGGTGTCCCTCTCTGGTCAGCCCTGCAATCAGCATGTGTGTGAAAGCCGGCATCTTTCAAACTGGGTTTTTGTTTGTAAATGAGTGAGCGTGTGTAGAGTCACCTTGACTGCAAAGCTGCATTTTCCACTGCGCACCGCCTCCTCGTCCGTCTGCCACTGGTGCGGCCGACTCGATTCCGGCACATAGACGTCTTTCTTTCGCCGAAAGCTCTGCCTTAGCTTATTCATCGCTGAGCTCCCTGTGAGGACAGAAAGAGGCAGTTTAGACTGGACTGTCAGCAGTTAAATAAGGAAGGCAGATCTCTCTTTTACCCATCGAGCCTGGAGCTGTGTGATTATTGAACAACCTTTTTAACATGCAGGAAGCATTTTAATAAAACATACTGGACAAAATGATTATTACATCAAAAACGAATAGTTTAACCATCAAAGCTATTTTGTTTTGGTTCAATAGTTAGAACAAGTTTACGAAATAAATATTTTCTTACACGCGGCCATTTGCCTGTTTTTTTAAATTCACTATTAAAGCTACAATGCCAAAACTACAAAACACGCCAACTTAAAACAAGGATTTTATCCCTCTCAACAACATAGTATAGCTATAACTATATGGTGGAAATAAAAAATAAATAAACAAATTAATTCACTGGTTCTCTCACATTTGTCCAAAAACCTCAGCCAATAGCACAGCTCAGTCTGAAACCAACTGGACCATCCGGTTGTCGATCTAACTGAACCGCTGCATTGTCCTGGGACCTCCATTCATATACACACTCACACACACATTTAGCAACAGAACACCACTGGTGTGAGAGGTCAGGCTGGCAGCCGTAACAGAGGCTCTCTGCTCAATAATATCAGAGAAGGAGAAACAGTTGGCTGCTACCACTTCAACTTTAGGACAAACTACCAGAGTCCCAAAAAGAAAAACACCACTTGAAGTCACGGACAACAAAAGATGTTTGGATCTAGAAAACTGTGACTGGTGTTTAGTGCCATCTCGTTTACCGTGGCGACGCAGGTTCCCTTGTGAGGGGGCGTGGCCAAGAGATGATAGCCAACAGAAGGGTTGAGAGTTCTGTGATTGTATTTAAAAGCCAACTTTTTGCAGATTTGATAACGCAGTTATAAATGAAGTTACAATCATAAATGTGTCATTTTTTTCTGATGAACAGAGGCCATATGTGATTGCTAATAAACAAAAAGCTGTACTTATGCAGCTAAGCCCTGTTGTTGCTTTGGCTCACCGAGGTGAAAAAAACATCAACTCTTCTGTTCCAATGTTCACCGTTTGCTCCTATAGGAAAACCGTCACTTGATAAATGTACAAGGCCTGCAGCACAGCCATAACGAGATATTATGTTGATGTCAGCTGCAGCCGTGGATTCTGTCTATTTCGGCAACGCTTGACTCATTAAAAGGTTGATTGTTTCTAGGACATTTGACAACAATGCTAAAAATACCTCCAATGATCCAACAATGGAGTGGACACCAGCGGTGATGTCAACACCATGTGTTTAAACCCAATGAGTTACCCCCAAATCCACTTTTTTTTGCTGATAAACTAAATAAATGAGTGTAATCGTGCTGTGGACACATGTAGTCAATAATTTGGCACGTTAGTGCATCTTTAGTTAAAATTTAAATATTCTGCTTAAAACTATCAGTGTTGCGCCCTCTTCATGTACAAACACTTCACTGCATTTGAATTTAAATCTGCCATCGCTATTGGCTTAGTGGTACGCTATGACGTTAGCTGGTACATTATGATGTGGCAATGTCATGGGTTTGTGTGTGAGTGTGAGTGTGTGTGTGTGTGTATTTGTTAGCAGCTCCACCCTCTCGGTCTGCCAGGAAACAGCATTTGTTGCATTTTTCAAACAGGAAGTGGAGTAAGACTCTGGTAGGGGGTGACTTGCTCTTTAACTTTGTTTTGAATCCACATCATGGTTCCTTTTTTACTTTTAAACTAACCTATAATGTTAGGTTTCCATTTCAATTATGAAGTAAAAAAGCAGTTTTCATTTAGACCACACTGAAATACGCAGCAAAGGGGCTTTATAACACTACCTATATTAAAATTGCTCTAGTCATTTAGAGGCATCACTACTTTCATTGGTGTGGCAATAAAACTAAACCATAACTTTATTTTCTTTGCAAACCGCAAGAATGATGCTAAACTAAAAAAACAGCAGAGTTGATGAAGCAACGGTAATGCTGTCAAGAGGTCACGTGTGTGTTCTTGGCTTTGAGGAGGGATTAGGGCACGAGAAAAACAGAGACTTAATTAAAAGTTGCTGATTTAAACTAGAACTGAGAGGTGCAGCCCCTGTCACACACATCAACTCAAACTGGAAACAAAAGTCATCTGGCCAAGAAACTGACTTTTAGTACAAGAGACGACCGAACTGACAAAACAGACCCGTTCACATCTGAGCTCATTTCTCCAGACCTGTCGGGACCTCATGCCTTTAATCCAGGACAGCTGACCCCCCCCCCCCCCCCCCCCCCACACACACACACACACACTCTACTTCGTGTCACCTTTCTCTCTTTTTACTTTACCTGGATCTTCTCAAGTTCTAACCCTAACCCTGTGAAAAAAGTGACAACTAAAATAACTCCCCCCAAACAAGGTCCTCACGTGCTGCAGATGTGCATCTATTCTACAGTGGGTTTTCTAGTGACCTCTGACATTTATATACTTTTATTTTAATGACATAAACAATTTTTAAAAAAATAATGTGATGTTTTTGCAAAATGCAATTTTCTACCAGTCCTACTGTTCAAGAGAGCTAAATATAATAAAATGAAATAACTAATCAGATAATGATTAGGGGTCATCATACAATAATTAACTATTATTATGAAACTAATTCACAAAACAACAAACATAAAAACATCAGAAAATATTCCAAATGACTGTAATCATTCTTAAGTAGGATGACCAGATCCCACCTCACCAAATGTGGGACAGAGACTGCTCACTGTGGGACATGAAGCTTCAATGTAACCAGATAGTTAAAATGTTTTTTTTAATTATCTAGTCTGCCTTTTATCTCTAACATGACTGGTAAATATACATACAATTATTATATAATTGATGTCTTATATATTCTATTTGAATTCAACTGGAACAAGCCAACAGCAAATGCTTTAATGCCGTTTCTCAGCTCCTCTCCAGCTGCCACAGCTCAACTCAGACTGGACCTTCTACTGTGGCTCTGGGTAACTTTAGCTACATGTACTTCAAACAATCAACTGATTTTATGAATATAGACAGGCCCACTATAATATAATGAAAGTTTAAGCAGCTTTTTAAAATTTTGACTGAATATTTGTGCTGACTTTCCACAAGAGAATGATGGTAAAAGTACCAGTAACATCTTTAGATCTATTGATGGTTATTTTCCACTAATAACATCTCATTGAGAACAGATCCATACTGTTTTGCAAGTTTTTCTTCTTGATTTCAAATCTCTTACATAACATGTAGGGAAGATGTGCCTAAAGGGTTTAGCCTGTATGCACCTGAAACAATAACCGCAGCACCTTGTCTGTCAGAATCTTCTTTAGGTTAGGATGGACCTGTCTAATTACTGGCCCCTTCGGTGGCTCATGAAGTATTTTCTGCTGGGTCTGAGTTGCCATCTTAGATGGCATTGTCGGCCCAGGTTTGATAGCTGCTTATGGGGCGTTTTTATATGTCCCATAGTACCTTCGTTGTATTGAGTGAATTGACTGAAAGGGAACGTTAGGTTATGCATAAATCCACTGTTCCCAGAAGGAGAGGAATGACAGTGGTTATATACATACCTAACCTAACGTTTTCTTCTCTGGAATATGATTCAGACGAGGAGAACAAATCTCACCAGAGAGGTGATACCAGTTCAACCATGCACGCTCAAGCCGGTTTGATTCAGACAACCTGCAAGCAAACACTGAGGAGGATGCTGAACGTTTTCAGAACCAAATACGGGACGGTTTATTTACTTTTAATGTTTTTTTTTCTGTACCCACCACATCTAGAGCCCTCAGCTGCATCAGGCTGTGCCAGTATAATTAAATGATAGACAGAAAAACTGTGAGCTGCCAGTTTTACTCATGTGTGTACATGTGGATATACCACTGGGATTGTGAATAATGAAAAAAATGCTTTTTGATAAAAATCTGTGTGTAAACAGTGAATTTCTCTGATTTACATGCAGTCTGACCAGTACCTTTAAAATAACCATAGGCGTCATTTTAACCGGGGACGCCGGGGACATGTCCCCGGCAAAATTTGTGATTGGCAGCTGTGTCCCCCCCACTTTAAAAAATGCCTGCTGATGAGGATTTTTGTTTTACCAGCTCAGATCTTTTACCAGGGGTCGGCAATCTGTTCCCATCAAAGAGCCATTATTACCCGTTTCCCACAGTAAAGAAAACACCGCAGCAGCTGCGGCGTTGTGGGCGGGGCCTACCCTCAGACAGCAGAGAGCTGCTCACAACCAGGTGACAGCAGCCGGTACCGGTCGTTCGCATGGGCGTCGCACCCGTGGGGGATACAACACCCACACTTTTCCAGCTGTTTTGCTCACCTCCACACCTGTCTGGTTTCTTTATGTCGCACTCACTCTGTTTGCCTCATCTCCTTCTTCACCTCCCGCTTCTGACAGCCGATGTCGGGTTTCCAGGAGAGCAGGAGAGGGAGGGATGGAAGAGCTCGACTGAATTCATAATTTTACATCTTGACATTAGCTGTACAAAGTCTGAGTTTGATAAAGTGAAGAACAACAATTTGCAGAGGTTTATAACAGGCGCAGCGCCAGGTTTTCATTTTTGGGTGGGCCACGGTAATTTTGGACAGACCTTAATAAGCAGTGACTTAGTGAAGCAGGCAGGTCGCGCTAGAAAATTTTGTTTAAAAAGACGTCATAAACGTGTTCCCCCGTCATTTTAATTTCTAAAATATGAAGTAAAAACTCCCAGTTTAATTTTCATTCATTTGTCATTAATATGTAGTCTACACCCGTGCGTTAAGTGGACCATCTTCCAGTAAAAGCAAAGCATCCAGCCCACCTCTCCAAATGCGTAAAATGTGCATCAGCCGCTAGTTAGGCGCGCCGCGCGCACCATCAGCTACGTCAGCCCAGACAAGAGCAGAGCAACTAGAGAAAGAATAGAGGATAATTGTGTCTGGATGTGGATGGAGATTACATTTTACAGCAGCCTGATCATCATTTAAATACGTAAACCA